CCTCCTTGCGCGTTGACGTCGGCGTCATTGCCTAGCAGCAGCTCAACGGTGGCTGTGTGGCCTTCTCTAGAGGCTGCCTGGAGCGCGCTGCCGTAATATCCTCCTTGCGCGTTAACGTCGGCGCCATTGCCTAGTAGCAGCTCAACGGTGGCTATGTGACCTCCCTGCGAGGCTGCCTGGAGCGCGCTGCCGTAGTATCCTCCTTGCGCGTTGACGTCGGCACCATTGCCTAGTAGCAGCTCAACGGTAGCTGTGTGGCCTCCCTGCGAGGCTGCCTGGAGCGCGTTGCCGTAGTATCCTCCTTGCGCGTTGACGTCGGCGCCATTGCCTAGCAGCAGCTCAACAATGGCCGTGTGGCCTCTCCACGAGGCTGCCTGGAGCGCGTTGCCGTACTCTCCTTGCGCGTTGACGTCGGCGCCATTGCCTAGCAGCAGCTCAACAATGACCGTGTGGCCATCCTCTGATGCTGCCTGGAGCGCGTTGCCGTAGTATCCTCCTTGCGCGTTGATGTCGGCGCCATTGCCTAGCAGCAGCTCAACGGTGGCTGTATGGCCTCCCTGCGAGGCTGCCTGGAGCGCGCTGCCGTAGTATCCTCCTTGCGCGTTGACGTTGGCGCCATTGCCTAGCAGCAGCTTAACGGTGGCTGTGTGGCCTCCTGTAGAGGCTGCCTGGAGCGCGTTGCCGTAGTATCCTCCTTGCGCGTTGACGTCGGCGCCATTGCCTAGTAGCAGCTCAACGGTGGCTGTGTGGCCTCCCTGTGAGGGTGCCTGGAGCACGTTGCCGTAGCCTCCTCCTTGCGCGTTGATGTCGGCGCCATTGCCTAGTAGCAGCTCAACGGTGGCTGTGTGGCCTCCCCGCGAGGCTGCCTGGAGCGCGCTGCCGTAGCCTCCTCCTTGCGCGTTGACGTCGGCGCCATTGCCTAGTAGCAGCTCAACGGTGGCTGTGTGGCCTCGTATGGACGCAGAGTGCATCGGACTGGCACCCTTTCCATCTCTCTCGTCGATATCGCACCCTTGCTCTATCAATCGCTCAACCACATTAAGTAACCCGGCAGAGGTCGCTTGATGTAATGCAAACTTAGGTAATGTACGACCCAGCAAACGCGTTCGGATATGATCTATCTCAAAGAGATGGGTTCCGTATATAATTGTATCGGCTGAAACAACGAAGGAGACTGGGTCGAAGTCCAGAACAATGTTGTGGTCATTGAACGGATCCTGAAGATATCTTATCTGGAGAATCGCAGCAAAGAAGGGCCCGCTTTGGCGAAGAAGACCTTCCACGAGTTGTAGGATATCCGTAGGAAGAGGTTTACCATGCGAAAGATGATAGTCAAAGTAGTGAGCCGCATATGATAGAAGTGTGGCATCCGACATTCGAGAGTAAAGATCTGTCCAATGACTACACGGTTCAGTCAACGTTCCAGGTTGAATATATCTTAGACAAATGCTGGCAAGCCTTGTGTGCACAAAACCTGGATCTGAAATGCTCTCCTGGATGCGTCGCCGAGTCGTTTTGCCGGGGCGCATCGTAAAGAACTCTTGGACTGAGTAGTGGACCGGCAGGATTGTATTGTTTTCCTCCACAATCAGGTTACCACAGGATGCAAGGAGAACCTCGACCTTGTGTACCTCTATGTCCGTTTGGCTTTGGCAGCTAACATCTGTCGCAAGTGCAAGTGCAACTGCAAGTTGTAACTCTTGAGTTGTCAGAGGTCTTTTGGCGTAAACTATCCACATAAGACAGTTGAGCGCTAGTTCTTTCATGTGCTCCGCTTGGTCGTCGATTCGCTCCAAGATTCGAGTGTATGTTTCATCGAGACCCTGTGGAAGAGTGTCTAGTGCAGCGTCGACCAGTCGGTCTTTCTGTGCCTCGCTGATTCGACATAGGCTCTCCAATTGTAGATTAACCCAAAGGAACCTATTTTATGATTAGTGGGCTGAGTTAGTCTGGTTTAAGGCCATCACTTACATCCCATCTGCTCTCTTAGTCAAGACTTGAATAATCCTCGCTTCGAGAATATTGCTGGTCACATAGAGTCTCTTCCCGTAATAGCCCTTCCGGAGCATCTTTACTTCGCTTCGAACGTAGGCCTCGATGTCTGCTGCAACGTTCTCTGCTTGAATCTGGACTGTGGGTGTGCTACTCTCTTCAAATGCGCGCACAATATCAGACTCTCTCCTACTTGTAATGAAAATTTTCGCGCATTGCAGAGCTTTTGTTACCTCCGTGAGAAAACCGATTATATGATGTCTTTCGCGCTGAGGACACTCGTCCAGCGCATCAACAACCACGTATACCTCCTTAAAGTTCAACTCCTTAGTAAGCATGATGAATGACTCTTGCGTGCTAGCTGTCGAAGAGCTGAGTGAGTCACGCTTGAACTTCAGCAGCCTAGGAGGTATAGTGTCTTTGCTTCGACAAAGTTGCTTAATCAAAGCCGCTGCTATCTGGGAGTAGTCCTGCGGAGTCCGGTAGTTGTAGTAAGCGAAACAGATAGCGACATTTTCGTCTAAAGCACATTTGGCAGTAATGTGTTCTAAGACATTTGATCTATAGCTCTATTAGTCAATCTAAATGGAGTATGATAAGACCGATTAACTTACGCAAGTACCGATTTTCCGGCACCAGCTAGTTCTAGTAAGCATATTACATTGAATAAAGCCTTGGGTGGTACTCACGCTTTCCATGACACCATAACAAGGAGGACTTTGAGCTGCTAAACCAAGTCTGAAACTCCTCCTTTTGAATTAACCAATCACCAGTACCTCTATGCTTCTTTGCGTAGATACCATCGTGAACCTTCTCAAAGTCGACCTTAGATATCCAGTCCAAGAAGCTTTCCCTCTCCATTTCTATGACGGTGTTACACAAAAGTTTTTCCAATAGAAAAAGCTCCTAGGCTTTAAGATGACTTACGTCGGCGTTCTTGCGTAGCTTCTCGGTCGTTGCGTAATTGCAGTGCTTGGCCGGCAAGGCGCAAAACATCTAGATGATGCTGCATATTTATTTTGATAGGACCGAATCCGGTCTCAAACGGCTCCCACTGTTGCCGCATGAACAATCTCCACGACGTCCATTTTCGTTTGTTTCCGTTGGTGTCCACGAAGACACGGCGCGCCTTCTGGCAGAAATCCAGTAGATCGCCGTAGACGTTAGCGACCGTTTTCTGCACGGGCACAGAGTCTTGGGATGCTTTCGCGAAATCTGCAAGCGGTTCGAGGTAATCTTCAAATTGACAAAGCATGTCAGCCAATTTGCTGAAGAAGTCCACAAAGTCAATGGCTAGATCGATGACAATCCGTACCGCGCCAACGACAAGAGAGGAAATTTCCGGATACGCCTGTATGCCAATGGCGATGCCTCCCATAAATCGATTAAGCAGGTTTAGGAACTTCGCGAGGCGCTCAGCTTGGGGTCGGAATGATGATCTCTGTTTATGGGCATCGTCACACGCCCGAGCCTTTGAGAGTAGGTTTTCTTCATCGATGGTTTTCGAGGCTTCTCGAAAGGCTTCCTTTTCGGCATCTGTGATCTTATCTAGGTGTCTCTGAATCGCTAGCTCAAGAGCTCCGTTCGCAGACGCTACTGTAGTCGTAGAGGTTCCCTGCAGGCTCTGCGTAGAGGATGCGGATGGTGTAACCGATGGTGTCGTTAGTTGAACCGCGGATGACGGGGCTTGCGATGCGTTGGAAATTCCAGAGTTGGGCCGAAAACGCCTAGGCAGCAGCAAGTCACGCTTGCGCATCCTCAATGCGAAGCCCGAGGGCACTTCTGCAGCGGACAAAGCTGAACTGTGTGTTGCAAATATTGAAATGTCTCAAAATAAATGAAGCTGAAGGAGGGAGGAATTATAGATAGACTGTTGTGAATTGCTTTGGAGGTTCGCGTTGGCAAGTTCGACAAATTCAGCTGGCTCTGCCTCTTTACTGTCGCGCGTTAGGCGCCCGATCACAAAAACTGGCAATCCGAGGGTCTGTGCGTTTTCAACGCCACTATGATGCCAGTGGGGCGGAAGGCCAGCTTGGGATAAGAAGCCCGTTTGAGACGAGGAGCCCATTTGAAACGAGAAAGCCCGTTTGGGATAAAGAGCCAGTTGTGGATGAGGAGCCATGATCTAACCGCAAGGTTATTGCCTACCTTACATATATCTATGAATTTACCTAAGGAAACAGCTATGCTTTTCCTTTAATGCTGTAATAAATCCTGATACTAAGCAGAGCGAGTGGACCCTGACCGAATGTGCTGAGGATTTGCTGACTTGCTGGTTTTCTCGATAAGGTCGATTAGGTATGTATTATTCAAGGAGACCTCGAAGACTGGCCTCGAGAAGCATCAAAGATGGCATCGATCTTTCAAAATTCCTTCTTAACCCATGGTGCGACACACTCGGCTGGAGGATAGTATGGAATGCTTCTCTCGCCCCCAATGCACAAGATATCTAAGACGATCAACGGTCGGTTATTCCAGGTCTTCGTCCGTATTGCTTCGAATCATGAAGAAGCTGACTTCGGTCTTGACGATCATCCACTGTTATCCAGAGGATGGACGTTCCAGGAACAGCTGCTTGCACCCCGTTTCGTCCATTTTACTAGAGATTCGCTGGTTTGGGATTGTAACGACGGCCTTTATTGTGAGTGCCGTGGACGGAGTCTGGACGATTCAAGCACTTTAAGAGAACACTTTGCAACCATGCAGCTGACACTCCACGAACTCGGTGGGCTGGCAAGCTCCTGGGAGGAACTGAGGTCTGAATAGTCTCTGGTTTCGAATCTATGGTATTATTTAGTGGAGAGATACTCGTTGCGAAAGCTCAGCTACGACTGGGACAGATTTCCTGCCGTATCTAGTCTGGCTTCCATGTTCAAAGGCCATTTGGGTAAATACCTGACAGGCCACTGGGAATCAGATCTCCCTTTTTCTTTGCTGTGGGAGCCGAGAGAACATTCGGGCCGTCGTTCTAGACCTTCACAGAGACCTGTCTCGAACCCGTCGTCTTGGTCCTGGGCTTCTATAGAAGGCGATTCGATTTCTTGCTACGTTAGAAATGAGTACGACTTACTTGACAGCGAATTACAAATCCTCGAGGCTGGTTGTCACCTAAGCTCATCTGACCCACACGGCACGGTTGCGGGAGGTTCTATCAAAATGCGCGGAAAGTTGATACCGTTCAAGTTGCCTCATGGTGCTACTCTCGACGAAATCGGAGAACAGGCTAGCTCACAATATCGTTTACGTCTAGCGGAGCAGATACATCCCGATTTTCCCCCAGACATGCGTGTCGGAGGGTTTCATCCAGATGTATTGATCACTTCGCCGGACTCCTTCATATCGGCCGGGATGACTCTGCGCTTCATTCTCCTGGCGAGCCGTCCAATAAAGCGAGCTAATGGGGCAGAGTTTCATAACTTCGGATTGGTCCTCAAACGTGTTGAAGTAGCAGAGCATCTGATTTCAGGAGATGGTGTTTCCAAGAGCTGTTACGTTTACAAAAGAGTTGGCATGGGCTTTCTTTACAGTGATGAGAACTCGAGATGGTCCCCCCTCTCGATATGTTCCTTGAGGACGTTTTGTTGATTTGAGGACACCTTGGTCATGACGCTGTCTTATGATTCAGTCAATCGAACCATAGACGAAAGATGATAACGTGGAAAACCAATTGACGTCGAGGAGGATATCATCACTAGAAACCGAAACCTCAAGTAAATGGCCTCCTTAGTAGGCGGAACTCATCCAAAGTTTCTCGAAATAGAAAGTTTCCAAACGAAAGATGGTATAATACACTACGGATACTTTCCCGAGAGACGACCTATGAACGCCGTCCATGTGCATCAAATTGAAGTCCCTATCTTCCATGCATTGCGAACTAGTGAGGTTTCAAATGACGTTGCACCAGTGCAACGGTCTTGCCTCAAGACCCTATCCGACCATGCTCGTACGCTAATGAATCAAATGCACCGCTAATGACGATAGGGGGGTCTTCCGGTCCTATTCATCGTCGGCCTCCTCAACACGAGCGTGCAGCACGCGCTTAGTGGCGGTACCAGCAGGAACAGTGCCCGTAGCTTGAGGTGTCGTGACAGGTGCCGCGGTGACAGGCGCGGCAGTCTCTGCGGATTCGGATCCAGGGGCGGCCTTGCCATTAGCCCCCTTCTTCGACTTCTTGGGCCTCTTAGCCTTCTTGTCCTGTAGCGATTGTCAATATCAGCAAGTCTAGGGCGACTCTGCTTTGAATCTCACCTCCTGCCATCCATAGAATGGCTTGAAAGAATCAAAGAATCCCACATCCTCGAACAAGTTCGGGTACAGCCACAAGCCGGGGGGGATCGCAAACATCGTGATCACAAACAGGATGAGTCTGAAGATAGCCATTCCGAAAAACAGTCCGATCAGTCCCAGCGCGCCCATACTAAGATACCACACTCCCTGTCGCATGATCAGTGGCCACAGCGGGAACATTACCACGGCGATGACCACGATCAGTGCGCTCAGGGCGTACAACTTCTGCTTCCATTGTGATCCCTCGTATAGCCAGACATAGTGGTGGTCGTCGTTGGCTTCTTGGTGCTGCTCCACGCGGACTGTCCAGAGGCCTTTGACGCGCTTGGTCTTCGCGTGGCCGTGGCCTTCGTGGCCGGCGCTAGGATCGACTTTCGAGACGCGGAGCGCAAGAAGGGACATTGGGAGGAGCTTGAAGGCGTTCTCGGCAGTTTGTCGGTCTTTCACCTCAGGGAGGAGGGTGTTTTTTTCCCGGGCTTTTTCGTAGGCGGGGGACTGAAGGGCGCGAATGGCTCGTTTGACTGTTGTAGGTGTAAGTGAATCGCCATTTTCAAGTTTGTATAAGAGGGCATACCTCTGAACATGTCCTTCCGCTTTTCATCCAACAAACAAGTCCTCAGTTTCAAGTCTTGCGAGCGCAGGAAGCCTGCCACAGCGAGTGCGGCGGGATTGGGGGGTCCTGGCTTTATGGGCACCTGCTGTTGCTGCTGGGCAGCTTGTTGTTGAGCCTGTGCCTGTTGCTGTGCTTGATGCTGCTGCATTGCTTGCGTCTTGAGTTGTTCGATATATTGTTGGACGGTAATTCCACGTCGTTGCGCCTCGGCGGCCATCTGCTGCTGCATTGCGCGGATTTGCTCTGGTGAGGGCTGCTGGCCGGGCACTGGCGGTCCTGGGGGTCGCTGCATTGTGAAAATGTGTATGGAGTGTGTAGGCGGTGGTGAAGGTTGTGTTGTGTTTAAGTGATGGTGGGTAGTGGAGCGACAAAGATGACGGAAATATAATTCAAGTTGAAGACAGAGTGTCATTGTGTTACAGCCCGCGGTAGATCTGGATGTTTCTACGGTGGGCTCTAAGCGCCACTACGTCATTTTTGATAAAAGTTTAGATTCCGCCTTAAAGTCTTCACCTGAACCCTACCACCCCGTCGAGAAAGCCATGTCTGCCCCACCGCTTTCCCAGGCTAATGGTGCTACGATGACTCCAGGTAAGCGTTCTCATCGCTCAGCCATGTCAATACTAATGCCCATTCACAGAACAAATACAGGAAAAGTGGGAGCTGGGCATATGGCACACGCTCTACAACTGGGAAGACCTCAAAACTGCGATCCAAAACGGAGAGGGAGAATCTGATGGCGAGGATGTGCGCGATTGGCTAGCGGGCCGTATATCGGAAATGTTCGACGAGGATCCAGGAACCGATGCGTTGGATATCGAGGTCGTCCTCCTAGAAACCATAGAGGACAATTTTCTTGTCCGACTTGAAACCGACAGCGAGGTCAAGATTGCACAAAACATCATGAAGATCAGAGACGAAATATCCAAAGGCAACTTTTCGACGTTCGATGCTCTGCATGCGGAATGGTTGAAAAACAAGGACAAGCCCCTGCAGAAGGGCAAAATTCGAGTCGTGGAAACAAATCAGGACTGGGAAGGCGACAGTGTGGACGAAGAGTCGGAGGACGACGAGGATGACGATGTCTCCATGACCGATGCCCCCCCACTTGTCCCCGTGAAAGTGAAGCCGGTGCCAGAGGTTGACGAAGATGGTTTCACAAAAGTCATTGGGAAGAAAGGACGCTAGGGCTGGCTTTCATACCTCCTACTCTGTTCTTACGTCTTACGGGTTTCACGGAAAGCTATGCATGGATTCGGAGTTTTGAGGAAAAGTTGAAGGTGCATGGTAAATATGGAGTACAGATACCCAGGAGACTGAATGCACGTATGCTCCAGAAGGCTGCATCTGGAGTGACTTTTTGCACTTCGGGAATTTCTTGTAGCCTCGGAATATGTCTTGATTAATTGCATTTTATGTCTATATACATCCTCCTAAATCAATTGTATCCACACGACCGTTTGAAAAACTGGTGGGAGAGTGCGAACTTCTTTCTCGTTACAAATTGGGACTTGGACCTTCATGAACTCGGGCTAATAAATCTGAATCTAGCAATCAACCATAGCAACTATTGTTCTTCAGTATACTCTCGTAATTCACTATCTGCCCCTCAGTGGGTTGAAAAGTGCTGCCAAGCCGGAAAAATGAACCACCGGCCCACTCTCGCTTCTCGCTTCGCGCAAATATTGCAGTCCTCACAACATCGAGACTCCCGAGCAGAGCCAACGACAACCCATCCGCCGACAAGATGAAGCTCAACATCTCCTTCCCGGCGAACGGGACCCAGAAACTGGTCGAAATCGACGATGAGCGGAAGCTGCGCGTCTTCATGGACCGCCGCATGGGCGCAGAGGTCCCTGGCGACAGCGTTGGCGACGAATTCAAGGGCTACATCTTCAAGATCACCGGCGGCAACGACAAGCAGGGCTTCCCGATGAAGCAGGGTGTGATGCACCCAACTCGAGTCTCGCTCCTCCTCGGTGCTGGCCACTCGTGCTACCGTCCCCGCCGCACCGGCGAGCGCAAGCGCAAGAGCGTCCGCGGATGCATCGTCGGCATGGATCTCGCTGTCCTCGCGCTCAGCATCGTCAAGCAGGGCGACGCGGAGCTCCCCGGCATCACCGACACGGTGCACCCGAAGCGATTGGGCCCCAAGCGCGCCACCAAGATCCGCAAGTTCTTCGGTCTCAGCAAGGACGATGATGTGAGTTATCTCCATTGTCTTCGCCGGTTCAGCAATGGATCGAGTCTGATGTACCATCTTTTCTATCTAGGTTCGCAAGTTCGTCATCCGACGTGAGGTCCAGCCCAAGGGCGAGGGCAAGAAGCCATACACCAAGGCGCCCAAGATCCAGCGTCTCGTCACTCCCCAGCGTCTGCAGCACAAGCGTCACAGGATCGCACTCAAGCGCCGCAATGCTGAGGCTTCTAAAGATGCTGCTGTAAGTTCTAGTTCTGTCCATACACTGGAAAATGTTAGATACTGACGTGTTTGTAGAATGAGTACGCTCAAATTCTCCACAAGCGCATCACCGAGGCCAAGTCCGCGCACGATGAGGCGAGGAAGAGGAGAGCGTCGTCGATGAGGCATTAGACGAAGATCTGAGAGGAACGGTGCGATGTGTCGAGGCATATGAGGTCAGGGGTCACGGGGAAGAACAGAAGCATGACGGCATGTTTTTGGTATGACAGCATAAAACTATAGGGATTCTCTTCCGGGCTATATCGGCGTAGCAGCTGTCCTCAATTGAAAAGTTTCATCCACCGATGAACTCCTGACATCCGTATCCGCTTTTCTTGACGACACGTGTGATCTTCGGACTACTTACTGTCGATCTATTGACTATTAATACTTTTCTAATTCATGATCAGTTCCTGACCTGACAGTGTGTGGTAAATATTAGCGAGATTGAGACCGTAGAGTTTGGAGGGAGTCAAGGGGTGCTTCAATGTGAATATGAAGAGTCAGTTTTTCGGTTGCACCCGAGTACAATTTGTAGTCTCTTTTCCATTGCCAATCCCCAACACTTGAAATGAGGGTCTCGAATTTCCGGTCGAGTTCTATGATCGCAGCGTCTGGGTTTCCCCACCACACCATATACTTCCGTCAGAATATAGGGGCACTGATGAACGACGAAGCATAGAGCACTTATTATTCATTGAAAAGATGTGACACATTGAGTGTGTGATTGTACCAACAAGAGGCCTACTGAGCAAACCACTCAGCATCGAAGCAGCCATTGCCCAGCAAGACAATGCTGCTATCCCCGCCCAAACCAGCCACCGAACGCCAATTCCATGCTCCGAGTCGCAAGACAACTTTTAAAGATTCGCCTGCTCCCTCTCCACTTCATACATGAAGTCGAAATACGGCTTATCGAAGTGATGCACACGCACATACCCGTCCTCTCCTCCACTGGCGTACCCGGTTCCCTTGGGATGCACGGCGACGTAATTCAGGGGACCGAAATGGCCACGCACACGACCGATCTCCTCCATGAAGATCTTGTGGTAGAAGCGGGCTTCGAACTTACCCTGGCGAGCGCTGGTGGTCGTGACATCCATGGCGGCTTGGCCACCACCGAGGATAACGTAGTCCTTGACGGGAGTGATAGCGGCGCTGTTGAGCGGGGTGTCGGTTTGATATGTCTTCAGGACTTCTAGGTCGTTGGTGGTAAGGAGTTTGGCGGACTTGTCTTTCGAGGCGGTGATGAAGTAGGTTCGGTCGGGCGACCATTGAAGATCGGTGACCATCATGTCAGCCTCGTGGACTTGGGTGTTGAAGATGAGTTCGCCGGTCTGGTCTTTGTTAACAGAGGTGTAAATCGAACGTGGATTGCAAATACCTTTGCGTCGTATTGCGAGACCGAGCCGTCCTCGTGGCCAGCGATGATGTAACGGGCACCATAGCTGAAACCTGCAACTGTCGCCTTGCTATCTTCGCACACTATCCGCAGAGCCTGCTCACTCGTCTGTTCCGCCTCGATATCTAGATCAATGTCGTACACTACGATCGAGCCGAGATGGCCTGATCGCTTCTCCGTCACACCGAGAAGCTGTCGGCCGTCGGGCGAGAATTCCACACGCTTGATACTGGTGGCGAAGTCCCATGTCTTCAATAGCTTGCCAGTCTTGACCTCCCAAAGGCGCATCGTGTTGTCGGCGCCACCTGTCGCGAGCATCTCGGAATTCGGAGAGACGTCTACTGTCCATAGCGCACCCTGAGTATGTGAGATGATGTTCGATTTCTTTGAAGGGATTGAAAGGTATGTACCTGGTGGCCGTGGTAGGTGCCTGGGGAGAAGTCAGTAAAGATCAGAGTAGACGAAACGAGGGTGCCATACCTAGTCGCTCGCCATTATGTGAGAACCACGCGCACTGTAGTCAAATCAACTGCTATTCTTTCAAGGTCCGACGTCGGAATCTACTTACAACAACGTGATCCTTGGAAACGGAGAATATGATATCGCCATCGGCGTCTTCGCCAAGGGTCAGCCATCGCTCAAAGCGACCAAAGGTTCAGAACATACTGTATTTAACTTGCGTAAGAGCACGCTCGTGCCCGGAGAGTAGAATCGGCCTCATTTTTGTGAATGTGTCTTTGAAAGTATGCGCGGCCTGTGAGTCGACGAAATATGTGGTGGGGTTGAATTTGAGGTTCGGGGATGGAAAATCTTCCCCTCCGCGAACTTTTCGTGGGCCTCGTTAAATTGTCCGCGTCTTACAAGTTTTGTCTCTTCCAGCAGACGCTTCAGACTGTTCATCCTCGCAAACACAACACAAAATGGCTACGAACAACGTGGAACGTCCTGCGAAAAGGGCGAAACTGCTCGAGGACAGTGACTCCGACTGCGGAGACGGTGGCGCTCTTTCGATCAATAAGGAATACGCAAAGCGCTACGAGTATAATCAAAAGCGCAAAGAGAAGGAAAAGCGTATGATTATCTTCCTAGGCTCAGTGGCTTTTATTAACAAGAAGCAGTGGAAGCCAAGTACGGCAAAGGTGAAATTGAAGACTCAGAAACAGACTCCGAGTCTGAAACCGAGGACGATGAGGGCGAGTTAGCTACAGAAGAGCTCGACGCCCAAATCACAGCCACCCTACGTGCCATTCGGTCCAAAGACCCTCGAGTCTACGACGCGAACTACAAGTTCTTTACCGAGGACGAGGATGTGGAGGAAAAGCCTGCCCAGGACAATGGCTCTGCGAAAGAAAAGCCTATGACCCTAAAGGACTACCATACCAAGAATCTTTTGGAGGGAAGGCTTGACGATGATGCAGAAGACGATGCACCGATAAAGACATACGCACAGGAGCAGGAGGATGCTAGACGAGAGCTTATCAAGCAGATGCACGATGCTGCAGGCTCTGAATCGGAAGAAAATGAGAATAATAATGACGATGACGATGACGACGACGGCTTCCTAGTCCGCAAACATAAGAAGGAACCTCAGGCTGTTGCCAAAGAAGCGAGGCCTACGATCACGGAACTCGATGTCAAACGTGCGGACAAAGACCCTGATACTTATCTCTCCAATTTCTTAGCCGCTCGCGCTTGGGTACCGGGCGGCGACTCCCGCTTCCAGCCTCTAGAGTCCGACGATGAGGAAGAGGAAGCTCGAGCGGAGGCTTTCGAGGCTGCTTATAATTTACGCTTCGAAGATCCATCAATGTCCAATGAGAAGCTCCGAACACACGCTCGTGACGTGGCTGCTAAACAGTCTGTTCGGAGAGACGACAAGAGCGGTCGGCGCAAGGCTCGGGACGCTGAAAGGACCAAGAAAGAGGAAGAGAAGGCCGAAAGACAGAGAGAAAAGGCTCAATTGCGGAAGCTGAAGATCGAAGAAATGGAAGAAAAAGTGAATCGGATTCGAAGAACTGCTGGCTTGAGCGGAAGAGACTTCAAAATGGAGGAATGGGCGGATGTCTTAGACGCAGACTTTAACAGCGAGCAGTGGGATGCAGAAATGCGTAAGCGATTTGGAGATTCCTACTATGGAGCGGATGAGGCCCTCGATGATTCGGAGCCCGAGAACGAAACATCTACCAAGAGCAAAACGAAGAAACCAAAGAAGCCAAAGTGGGACGATGACATCGATATCAAAGACCTGATTCCCGACTTCAAGGACGACGAAACTACCAAGCCCCTTTTCGAGCTCTCAGACGAAGATGCCGCACCCGAGGCTGACGCATCAGCTGGTGCCAGCGACTCTGACGCACCCAAGCCAAAAGGATTGAAGAAGAAGGAACGCCTCGCCGCACGCGCCGAAGCCAAAAAGAATGCTCGTCGTGACCGGCGCCTAATCGAGAACCTCGTCGACCAGAATCTCGAGATTGACTTTGCGTTGCCGGCTTCTGGAAGTGCTTCATCCTCCAAGCAACCGACACGGTTCCGCTACCGCGAGACTTCGCCAACTACCTTCGGTCTTACGCCGAGGGATATATTGCTCGCTAGCGACGAGCAATTGAACTCGTTTGCGGGCTTGAAAAAGATGGCTACCTTCAGGGATGAGGCAAGGAAGAAGAAAGATCGAAAGCACTTGAGTAAGAAGGCAAGGCTGAGGCAGTGGAGAATGGAGACATTCGGAGACGAGGATGGGCCCAAGGGTGGGTTTGAGACATTACTTGGTGAGGAAGATGGCCAGGAGGAACGGAGAGGAAAGGGTGCGATCGAGGGTGCGGTTGAAGGCGCGAAGAAGAAGAAAAGGAGGCATAAGAAGAGGAAGACCGAGGCCGTGGAGGCATGAGTAGACGAATAGCGATGAGAGTGCTAGAAGATGATGATGGAGTAGTTTGATACCTAGTGTGTATGTACAATGCCTGGTCACAGGTATACGCCTTTTTGCCGCTGCGTGTGGTGCGTTCCGGCAAGTATTTGAACGAGATGAAAGTTGATCATTCTGAACAACAAGTAAACTTACTAAGCTACCTTACATAACTAGCAGTAGGGAGGTGTACGCAAATTAGATGTGTGATTCTCGCTCAACTAGGAGGAATATATCAGTTCGAATCTAGCTCGATACCGAAATTGGTGCCAAGATATCTGACAGGGTGCTAGGATCTCATCCACCAACTCCCTCCCTGAAGCATACATCATTCCGACCAATAACGAACACAATAGTATTAGACTCTGGGTTCGCCGCAATTTTGCATATCCGGGGGGCCTGAAGCTACGCAACTCACTATCTTCAAAATCTTATCCCCGCTTCTAGGCTTCCATTTTCATCAAATGTCCTCGCCTCCTGTCAAATGCTTCATCTGACCTCTAACATTAAAACAAAATGGTTTTATTTTATGTGCTGGAGCCTCTCTTACTAGTGGTAGTTTCTGTATTCATCAGCCCAGGCCAAATGGCTCGCACCGAGCAGTCCCCCAACGACGCCCCAATCTGGACACCATCTGCAGGCTGCCCGACCAACATCACAGCCACGATCCCAGGCTACAACCCACACACTCTTCCGGCTGGCCACTACAACTTTCCTTCCACGGCCGTCGTCCACGAGGCCCTGACACACTGCCCGGGCCTATCATCACTCTACCTGCGCGTGGCACTACGTGGCTGCAGCAACTGGCCCGACCGCTGGAACCTCCCGTTTGCTCTAGAAGGTGGCACGACCTACCCGCCACTCAAACATCTCAGCCTCGAGGGCTACGACTTCGACCAGTCGGAGTGGACAGATGCGAGACCGCCAGACTGGTGGTTCGATCTCGGGGCCTGGAGCTGGTGGGTGCAGAGTGGGCGGGCGGCACGATGGTGGGAGTATCGTAAGCTCCCTATCGAGGAGAGGATCAAGACGAATCTTGACCTCTGGCTTGACGCGATGGAGTTTGAGAAACTAGAAAGCTTGGGGATGAGGGTCGATTGGGCGGTGCCGAAGAGCTTTGAAGAGAAAGCTATACCGAGGCTTGAGGGGTTGAAGGAGCTTGCGCTCTACGAAGCCCCGGACTGTGGTCGAAGTGCGGCGTGGATCAGGAGGCTGAAGCCGTTGACGAGTCTGAAGTGGATTGGCGGGTTTGGTATGGATGGAGTCGCTCCAAGAGCGCTACTGAGTCGCCATGGAAAGACGTTGGAGACGCTGGAGTTGAGGCGCGAGGAGTGGCTAGGTGGTCGACGGCCTGTACTTTCAGTAACAGAACTGGAGCAGCTTAGAGAATCCGCACCACGGCTGAAGAGCTTGAGTGTCGATGTGAATCGAAATGGGACCTGGCCAGTTGAAGAGCTTGAGGCTATCGCAAATATATCCAGCTTAGAGCGCGCGGATGGTTGGCTCGAGTATGCGTCTGATCTTGCATTGGAGGAGTACTACCAGGGTAAACAAGCATATGAGATGGAATCTAGGCATCGCAACGATGATCTGTTGCTGCAGAACCCTTTGTTGGATAAGAAAGGAGCAGAGAAGTTGTGGGATATTATGAGGAAGAAAGCAGGGGAACGATTGAAAGAGGTAGTCTTCTATGCTGGTGACTGGACAAGGTCATGGGATGGACCGCTTCATCTTGCAGGTTGGCTTGAGCATAAGAAGGAGAGATGGTATTGTAGTGAGGGGGGCTGTGTGGAGAAATGGGGGGATCATGAGTACGATGGGATTGACGAAGAGGAGTCCCTAAGCGAAGTTGAGATCAACGACGAAGACGAGGAAGAGAAGAGAGAGTTGAAAGCCTTGCAAAAGGAAATGGAGTTGTGAAGGATATGACATACACACCTTAATCAATATAAAACTTTGAATAGGAAGCGGACTACTAAAGAGCCCCTCTGAGCTAATCAAAAGATTGGTACAAGGTCACGTGGTATGTTGCAATGGCGACATAGGTATATCCGAATAACAACACAGGTATGTCCGAATGAAGATACAGGTATGTCCGACTAACGAGAGGGGTATGTCCGAATGGTGGCGCCCTTCTTATAAAGTATGGTAGGTAAGTCAGGAATCCGTTGATATTCACGAACTCCTCGAGCAGAAAACTCACCCACATCGAAATACTCATCCATTGTCCAATCAACGCTCACAGATTGTCTCGGCGTGGGCTCCTGCCTAACCCCGGTCGGAAAGGGCTATCTCCACTCCAGCCCCGCCACGTGACTGTGAAACTCCAAGTGTACATAACCAACAGTGAAGGCTTGTAGAAAATCCATAGGAAACCCCAGCTTGACAGATCGACCCTCAACCAACATCTCACCTAATTCTTCACCATGACGGACGCCGTTCTCAACCCAGCATGCTGTGCCAAACCCGCCGTCGTCACAGGCGAGTACACACCAAAGGGCACGTACGAAGACATCGGGGGATTCAAGACGTGTAAGGTGGTTTTTTCATGAATCTTCGCAAGTCTAGGCTCAATTACCTTTCGATATCCGAGTCTATTCATCACTTCTACCCCTTTCAGCTACTCCCTCCTCAACCCTCTTTAGTCCCTACCAAAACCTTACAAACCCAGACATCTCCGGCCCAAGCACCTCCACCGCCGCCCTAATCCTCATCCACGACATCTTCGGCCCCGTCTCGCAGATCATCCAAGGCGCAGACCGCCTCGCAGCCTCAACCGGCCAACTGATTCTAACCCCCGATTTCTTCAACGGCAAGAGGCTCGCGAAGGATTTGTTCCCGATGGACACCGATGAGAAGCAGGCAACAGTGGGGAAGTTTTTCGCCGAGGTGGTGAGTAGAATCGCTGACTTCAAGACTTAGGGTCGAGTATTTTTCAGCACTATCAAGCTAACACGTCACAGGCTGGCTTCGAAGAGGGCACCAAGTCCCTCCTCGCCGTCCGCAATGCTGGCAGCGAGAAATTTAGCTCCGTGACCGCGTGGGGCGCATTTGGGCTCTGCTGGGGTGGAAAGGTGACTGCGTTGGCGAGTGCGGAGGGCAGTCTGTTTAAAGCGGCTGGGACGGCGCATCCAGGGTGCGTATTACTTCTTTTCCTCCCCTCACTACTGCTTATATCCCTTCATTCGTTCGGCGTGCACATAACACTAACTAAACTCCCCATCCAGTCGTCTCGCAATCGACGAAGCACATGGCATCACAATCCCCTACATCTGTCTCTTCTCCAAAGACGAAGATACCGACCTCGGCAGGGAATACGGTAAGGTACTCATGAGTAACCCGAAAGCAAAGGGCAGCGTGTTCGAGACGTATGGGACTATGCATCATGGGTGGATGGGTGCGAAGGCGGATCTGGAGAATGAGGAGAATGCGAAGGAGTACGTGAGGGGGTATGAGCAGGCGTCGGAGTTCTTCAAAGCGTTGTTGGTGTGAAAGTGTCAGGGGGGAGTGTCGGTAGACAACTTGACGGTTAGACAAATATTAGAAGCGTGAGTATATGAGATACGCCTGATGTGCTTTTGAACGTGTATGTCCAGGCTCGGATTTTGTGACTGAACCCCGCTCATCTACAACAGCCCCCTGAAGCCCTTGAACTATCAAAGACTCTGGTTCTAACCTGCCCGAATCGAAACCACAACCGCCCGCCTATCTAGCCGTAGCACCTTCATATGATAAGAGACTCCCGAGCCAACCTAAACCTCCACTGCAACCTCCTCCGTTCTCGCTCCCCCACCACCTTGCAATCTCCTCCCTCTCGCTCTTTAACCCCTTACCACACAAACGGCACAAACCTCGCCGTCTTCTGATGCCACGCCTCCCACTCCCTCCCAAACTGCCCCTTGAGAAACTTCTCCTCATCCCTAACCCGCACGCCAAACCCAAAGAACAGCGCCATCCCATACCCCACATTGAACACCGCGTTCGCGACCCACAGCCCCGTCCCCGGCCGCACCCAGCACGCCGCGGCCCCATCGACGCGCCACGTCAGCAGCACCACGCCCACGGTGCTGATGAAATACGCCACGTAGCTCGGGTGCTGCACGTACCGGTAGATGCCCGTCGTGACGAGCCCGTTCTTAGGGACCGTAAGCATATACGTGAAAGACGAGCCGAGGTTCCTATACGCGCCCAGCCGGAGAGAGCAGAAGATGATGATGGTAGCCAGGTAGACGGCACTCTGCGGACTCCAGGCCAGGAGGGCGGGGTTCGGGCCATTCGGGTTTGGGCAGAGGAGGCCAAACGAGGTGGTGTTGAAGAGGAGGGCGCAGGCGGCTTGGGAGAGGAAGAGGGTGGCCATGAACCAGCGGTAGTTGCGCAGACCGCTGAAGCCGCCGGTTCTGGTGAAGATCTCGTCGTTGGTGCTTTTGGTCGTGGTCAGGGGGACTGGTGGGGTGGTGGCGCGGTGGTTGAGGTACATGGCGAGGAGGAGGGTAGCGGTGTAGGAGATGGCGGAGGCGGAGGGGTAGGTGGTTTGGGGGGGCATGGTGGAGAGTTTGAGGAGAGGTGTGATATGGAGATGGAGATGGAGATGGAGATGGAGATGGAGATGGGGTTGGGGTTGGTTTTCTTTTTGGAGATTGGATGAAGGTGTGATTGAAGGGAAGTGGTACGTAATGAGCGGGCTGGAGTTGAGAGCTGTAGAGTAGAGGTGACGTTTTGGATGTCCGTCTTTAGAGGACGGACTGAGGGGTTTATAAAGGAAAATTCCAACTTATTTAGAAATGATCTTAGCTACAAGGCAGCCTTTAAAACGACTCTTCGCCGGATATAACTGGAAACGGAAATGTCGTTGAAGTTCTTCGGGCCTTTTAGTGGATCGGCCTAGAAAGGCTTGGTGTAGTGGCAGGCTCTAACGAGAAAGCGAATGAGAAAAAGGCGGACTTATCTTCTAGCTTGGTAATCCTGGGGAGTCCGCTCATTGGAGTTATAAAATGTATTTTTTGATGAACCCTGGCATCACGTCTGGAGTTTACAGGACCTGGATGCGTCCGGTGAACTAGCGCGGACATGAGGCCACAGGCGAAATAGGTGGTATTGGAACGGAGGAGGCCTTTGCTGGACTAATTCTTACCGAGGCTGAGCGGAACTGCTAAAAGCACAGTACAGATTATCCCCCTTTTGCAGCTGACTTTCGTGGATTGATTTCCGCGCTCGTTCGTCGGACGCATCTAGGTCCTGTACAGCATCTCTTTACGTCCGGTGGCTTAGCGCGAAACTGGAACCAGGTTTAAAGGGAAATAGAAAATCTTCTAGCCAATTAATCTTCAAGCCGGTTGAAAGTAGAAAAAGGTTTAACATGATCAATTCCGTTTCCGCGCTAGTTCACGACGTGAAGAGAGTATGCACTATAGTCTCTGTAACTCTATGTGCAACTCTGGTCAAGCCAGGTAGTTTTCTGGCGATTGCTTGACATTCACTAGGGTATAACAGTCGGTCAAGTCAACAAGCTTGCATCTCATCCAGACTCTTGTGAATATATCGAAGACTTCCAACTCGAAGCTGTAGTGTAGCGCTAGGGTTATGAGACTGAAGGTTTCATCAATTATGCGTCACCTTACTTCAGGTTCTCCACTGTCGGATGCGCAGCGGAAGGGATCGAAGCATTCATACTTCTGACATCTAGAGCAAGGTGTACGTGCTACCCAAGCTGTACACGCAATGTACCTCTGTACCTTGTACACTGCAACACTCTCAGCAAATTCAAAGCTGTTTGCACACTGCTTACCATGACCCTCGAATCTGCTCCGTTCCTCGAAGGCACGTGATCGAGGCCCAAGTCAACAATCGTGTCGTAGTTCCCAGTCGTACGTCAAACTCCATGATAATTTGTTCTTTGCCTGTCTTCTCAGCCTACTCTTCTTTTTGACTGCGCCATCCCATCATACAATCACACAAGCACACCTCTATCCCACATTGCAAACTTTAGGACACCAGGAACATCTTGTTATATTCTCCTCTGCCTAACCCCATCTTCCACTCTAGCACCACTCTTCCCAGACGTAACATCCACCAAACCCTCCCTCTTTCCCCCCCTCCCCTTCTCAATCACCCACGTCTCCACCACCTCCTTGACCTCCCTCCTCCCCCGCTCCACCTTCTTCGCCTCCGTAATCCTCCCCACATACCCCGCATAAATCACCACCTCCGCCACCGCCACCAGCCCGCTCCCGCCCATGCTCAGCCCCAGCCGCTTCGGCGCGCTCCAATGCCGCGCCGCCACCCAGATGAACACGCTCGTCGCGATAATCGACACCAGCACGTTGATGATCAGGATCATCTGCCGGTGCACGTCCGCATACGTGACCTCGTCCACATCGTCGGCCGCGGCGGCGGCGAGGTCGGCGGGGGTGGAGAAGTGGGAGAGGGGGGCGGCGGTGGCAGGGAGGACGGGGTTGGTCATTTGGGCGTAGAGGCGGTATTCTTCGGCGGCGCGGAGGCGGGCCATGAGGGCTTTGTATTCGGAGGTCTGGGGTGGGTGTTAGTGAGGCTCTGGGAGGTCTGGGGAGCTTGGGGGCTTACGGGTTCTTTCTTTGGTGGTGGGGGTGGGATGTAGACTTTTGAGCCGCGGAGGAGGCTGTTGAGGTGGCTTGTGGGCGTGTTTGAGGGGTTGTGGGTTTTGAGGAGCTTGGAGAGGTCGACGAGTTGGCTGTGGGATATTGGGTTGCCTGGTGCTGGTGTATTGAGAGAGGGCTCGGAGGGTAGTCGGAGCTTTTGGAGCTCGTCTGGTACTATTTTTTGTAGTGCTTCGAGGGCTGAGACAGCCTCGGTGGTCATCGTAAGGAGGACCATGCTGCCTGCTATATTGTATGTCGTTTGTGGTTGAGTCGAGTTCGAGTTGTGCAGAGCTGTCAAGCTGCGTGAGGGAGGGTCCGACTCGGGTCGATGTGCCGACTTTAGCGTGCAGCACGGGCCCTCGAAATTCTCGCCCACAGCTTCTCACTTTGCCCGCCATCGTCAACTCTGCACTCCATCCTCTATTCCTCTCGCACATCCGCTTCCATATTCCTCTCCCGACACTCAAAAAACCCTACACTCGTCTCCTGTATCCATTGACAGCAACCATCAGACTACACAAAACATTGCGTACGAGAACACGTCCCACAACGACCTCGCCTCCACGCCTCCCGCACGACCCACACGTGCGTAGCACAACCTCTACCAGCAATCTCTCCACTCCAAGGCCAGCCATCCTTGGAGGAGACACAATGGGCGCCGACACACTCCCAGCTCCACGGAGCGCGACCTCTTCCGCCACACCACCTCCCGCCTCACCCGCTTCAACCGCATCCGCAATCGCAACAGCATCCTCCTCATCCTCGATCGTCCCGCCCTCTCCAGCACCAGAAACAGAGCAGACAGCGCAAACAGAACAACCAGAACCCAAACCAAAGAAGGCACCAAAGCCAGACTCGAACGCGCGCGCCGAAGCCCTCGCAAAGCTCGAAGCCAAGATCAAAGCCCTCCGCGCCGCCCGCAAAGCCGACGGCCCCGACGGCCGCCCCGCCAAGAACCGGCAGGAGCTGATCGAGGCACGGCGGAAAAAGCAGGAGGAGATGCAGGAGAAGAAGAAAGCGGCGAAGAAGGTCGCGCGGGAAGAGGAGAAGCGGTTAGAAGCCGAGGCCGAGCTGGAGCGCATGCGCGGATCCGGCTCGCCGTCGGGGCTCGTGACGCCTGATATCTTTGCGTCGCGGCCGCTGGAGAACAGTTTCAATTTCTCGTTTGGGCGCGTCGCGTTCGATGATGGGCAGCAGGTTGATTCGAAGTTGTCGGGGTTGGTGGCGTCGAAGAAGCGGAAGGGGCCGAGTGATCCGAGGACGGCGCTGGAGGCTGCGAAGAAGAAGCGTGCGAGGATTAATGGGCTGGATGAGGAGAAGAAGGCGGAGATTGTGGAGAAGGATGCGTGGTTGAATGCCAAGAAGAAGGCGCATGGTGAGAAGGTGAGAGATGATGAGTCGTTGCTGCTGAAGACGCTCAAGCGGAAGAAGAAGACGAAGCTAAAGAGTGAGAAGGAATGGAATGAGCGACTGGAAGGCGTGCAGCATGGCAAGGAAATGAGGCAGAAGAAGCGCGAGGCTAATCTGCAGAAGCGGAGAGACGGCAAGAAAGACAAGAAGAACAAGGTGAAGAGTTCCAAAGTGAAGAAGCCAGCGAAGAAGGTCAAGAGGCCAGGCTTTGAGGGGAGCTTCAGGTCGAAGGCGAAATGATCGAGGGTGTAGTTGAAGGTTTGATTTGGAAGGTCTGCGATTTGAGCGTATTGCTCAGGATATGGTCGCCGTTTGGAGTGAGTTCATCGCTTCTGAGCTTTCAAGTCGAGGCATTACCGATGCCGTATTCTCCCTATTTTGTTTTCTGGGTTATGTATCTTAGCGACTGGCGTTGTTGGCATTCATTATCTGGCATTTTCAAGGCTGCAAAAGGAAAAGGCGCCCAGTCCATTCACAGAAGCCCCTCCTTCATTCAGCGTTCTTGCATTGGAAAAGTTCATAGCATGTGTATTGGTCACGACTTCGATGAATGAACCAACAGTTACAAATACCCAGGTCTTTGAATGCTTTTTTTGAAGTATCGATAACCCACCCCCCGGAGCGTCTCCAGCATTCTACCCTCTAGCACACAGATGTAGCGTGCACCCCCAAGCCTGCCTCTTTGCGTGGTGCACAAGTCTCAGCACCGAAGGCAGCCCGAAGCGGCTCAGCTCACTCACGCCGTTAGCAGCGCTCATCTCCCATCATTCATAATGTAAGCTAGGTAGCAGTAGCAACGCGCAAGCCAGACGCCCGTCCGCCCACCCAAAGAAAGGCCCTCCAGCCGCCGCTTCAAATATCATCGACATCAATCTCCTTGCCGTCGCCCGAGTCGCTGTCGTCCCGGTCCTCGTCAAACTCGAAGCCGATACCCTCGTCGCCCTGGTCGCCGTACGTGTCCGTCTCGTTGATCTTGGCGTTCTCGGGCAGCTCGCCGTACGCCTTGAGCGAGCGCGCCTCGTCGGCCGTGTACTTGAGGATGACGTCGCCCTTCTCATCTTGGTAGTCGCGCAGCGACAGCAGGATGATGTCGCCCTGGTTGATCCACACTTTCTTGCGCAGCTTGCCGCGGATGTGGGCGAGGCGGCGGGCGCCATCGAAGCACTGGGCTTCGAGGCGGCCGTTGCCCAGCATCTTTATTACCTGGGCGTATTCTGGCGGATATTGTCAGGATATGTTCTTGGGTCTTTGTGGCGTGTCGGAGGATGTTTCGTAGAGGAGGGGTATGAGGGGTACATGAGGACGGTGAAAGAGGAGCGAGGCGTACCTTGGCCGTCTTCCTTGAAGGTGAGTTCGCGCTTCTCGTTATCGTTCTCGTTCTTGCCCCTTCTCCTGTTCTTGCCTCCCTATAGAGCGAGTCTGTTAGCCGGAGATGGTTGCTGGAGCGGGGTGGTGGGGCTGGCGAGATGGCGGGGGACGTACTTTTCCCTTGTTCTTTGGCATAGCGGCTTTCGGTGGTGAGTGCTTCTAGTGTTTTAGTGCGACGTCTTCGTCTCTGGGGGGTATTTGTGTGCGGGAAGAGTGGTGTAGTGAGGGTGGCGGTGGTGACTCGGAGATGGCCTGTATTTATTTGCTGGCACGCCGCTGGTTTGGTGGGCTGTGTGGGGCTGTGTGGGGCTTCGCGCTTAGCCGAGAGCGGGAAGGCGGCTGTTCCAAGGTTCGTCTTTCACGTTCCCAAGGTGCCAAGGTATTGTTCGCTGCATCCAGCTCAACCCCTCGCATACGCACACATGTCATGACCGCGGATACCACCAGCTATTGCGAGTATCTGGGAGAGCACTCGATCTAGCAAGTCGCAGTCTTTTCAATTCTACTCCTCGAACCCTGTGGCCTGCTGGCGGGGTAGGCATTGCAACTTTTTTTTGGCACCGACTCATCGAGCTCACAGCTCTCAAACACCATGGCTCGTAAGACACAATTTCCATTTCCTCTATACAGGAACTCCTCAGAAGTACTGACTCGATGTCTCTCCCAGCCGCTGCTACCGATTTCGAAGAGGTCGACCCAGTCATCGCCGAGTACGACGTCTTCCTCACCCCCGACCTAGAAGAAGAGACCTACCTTCTACAATACCTGAACCGCGCAAAAGAACAGCCCTACAACGAGCGTCATGACATGTGCCCCCTCGAGCTGCGCATGAAGCAAGAATCCGGCTTCATCGAAGTGGATGTCCCGGTCAACGTCCACATGAACTTCAACAGACTGAACGGGGTCAAATGGGGCGAGTCTCTCCGAAAAGCGAAAGAGGATGGCCAGACTGCTTTCGGTGTCACTGCTGGATTCGAGCGTCCGCAGGTTAGGACCGGCCTTGCCAGGGGTGGTCTTGCGAGGGGTGGTGCGAGGGGCGGTGGTACTGCGAGGGGACGAACTGCCACTGCAGAACCTGCGAAAGAGAAAAAAGATGATGATGAGGACGAGGAGCTTAAGGAGCTGCTCTACAGATTCGACGATGCAAACGAAAAGGGACATGTCCTGAACAAGCAGACGCTGGGAGGGCAGATTCTCAAGCAGGAAGAAGGCGAGCCAAAGTACATGGTCGGAGCGTTCCGAGGAAGTATGTAATGCTCGAATCTTTCAAGCGGAGCGCGAGTTGGCTAACCATATGGCAGAGGAGCTCCATCTCACAAAGCTTAGCGGCATTGTTCAAATGCGACCGCAGTTCCATCATCTGGACGCCTTGATGCAGCAAGAGCAGGCCGCACGTCGCGCCGAAAGTGACGCCGCCAATCCCAATAAGCAGAGCGGTCCTAGAGCTGTTCAGATACAGTTGAAGAATTCGGATTTGGAAAACAAGGATATGGCCTCTACCAAGCAGCTCCTAAAGGCTGCTGCTGAAGAGAAATGGATGAAGCTCCGGTATCACGACGAAGATGTAAGATCCCTATGACTGCTCTGGCTCACTAGTCAGATGCTGACTACCACAGTCTGCAGAAGCGTATTCAGCATACCGCGAGAAGCTCTTCGTACAAGACATCAAAGCGGCGCCAAAACTTCACTCTGTCATGAACAACGAAGAGTACCTCGAGATCATCAGCGCACCTAGAGTCGACCATACCGACAAGAACAGCAAAAAGAAGCCTCTCACTCGGAAGCAAATGAACGCTCTCGAGCTTTCTGATACAGAAGACGAAGAAGAGGGTCAAGATGAGGAAATGGCCGAGGAGACGCAGGCCCCCAACGATGCTCCTGTCGATTCTATGGACATTGACGCCACAGATGTCGACACCACGGAGGTCAGCAACGAGATCAACGACTTGCTCACTGCTTCGCAGTCATAGTGTGCTTCCAAGCTGACATGAGGACCCAGTTTTGTTTCTATTGCTTAGTCTCACTTGCATATGCATCTGCACAGCGGCGGCGTTGGATCTTTTCAAAAGCTGGCGGAATCGGTTCATACGTCAACGATACCCAACTTCATAGCTTTATCAGCACTTTGAAAACGAAAAAGTCTCATATCAAAAATCGTCTATATCATCACCATGCAAAGTAAAATCTATGAAACGCCGACTTGGAATCAAGCATCCCCCAACCGCTCCACCAACCACCCATACGCCTCTCTAACAACACTCCAATTCTTATTCCCCCTCTCCCTCAGATCAAACAAATGCTCCGCCCCCTCCACTATCCTCACGCCAGCAGGCACGCCCCGCTCAACCAGCGCCTCGTACGTCCCCTGCGTCTGCCGCCACGGAATCAAGTCATCCCCCGTCCCATGCACCAGAAACGTAGGCGTGCGGTACGCTCCCTGCTCTATCTGCGCCCGCGGACTAATCGGCACGATCTCCCCGGCCTCAGGCTGCGCAAACATCGGCATCTTGCTCGACCTTTCCGTCACACCAAGACGCCCTGTTAGCACAGGCAACGTCTGCCCCTTCCAATTCATATGCAGCGCGATCCTCGCCCGCGCATCCCTCGGCGCCATTCACCAATTCAATGGTAGCACTGATCTGACCTCCAAAGCAAAGGATTACGGATTTTGTGACCTTTTCGAGCCTAGAAATTGGCCGGATCCTGCCAGAGATGGCTTCCTCGAGCTGGCCATGGAAGCCTGATATTGTAGAGGCCTCGAAGGTCAGTGTGTATGAATTTCGATGAGAGTGCTTCCACGCACAAGTCCGCAAGTAGATCACTATCTTTCTCAGACCCCCGGTAGAGGCAAGCAACTACTGGTAATAAGATTCCGTAAGTGCAGTGGCAGACGAGATTAGGGAATTTGGAGAATGTGCTGATTAATTGGAAGATATGTTTCGAGGGCAGCGACTTCCTCTGGTCGCGGTTTAAAACGGCATGAGTAGGTAGTTGCGGTACTAATAAGGCCGCATTGCTTCCGGCAGCGCCATAGTTGTTGACGCAAATAGCACGATAGTCCGTGTCCCAAGCAAGAGTCTCCAGAGGAATTTCCATTTTATCGTGTGACAAAGGAGGCGTGATTTGCGGGTTCAATAACTGGAACCCGGCTTGCTTAGGTATCGATCCTTTCTGTATCATCAACAGTGGTTTGATTATCATCAACAGTGGTTTGATGAGGCCCGCGGCACCAGAAGCGGCCTCTAAGTGGCCGATGTTGCCTTTCACAGATCCGAAGCGAAGGTTTTGCGCTCTTTGAGGGCCTCCAAATACTTGTCGAATGATATTGCACTCGATTGGATCCTTACGAGGCGTTCCAGTGCCATGCGCCTCAACGTAGTTAACGTCGTTGAGAGAAACACCCGCCAGTGAAAGTACTGTCCGGTAGAGCGTCGTTTGAGATTCTGGATCTGGCACTGTTATAGGTGTGGTGTTGCTGCCTTGATTGACTGCAAACCCGCTGATAACACCGAGGATGGGTTCTCCGGTGGCAATAGCGTCTTGAAGTCTTTTCAAAACCACGAGACCACAGCCTTCTCCACGGCAGCATCCGTCTGCGGAAGCATCAAAGGCCTTGGATGCCCCCGTTGGGCTGAGGAATGATGCCGCACCCAGATTCTAAAACAAAGTAGGATTGGTAATAGCGTTGACGCCACCAGCTAAGGCTGCGGAGCACTCACCAGCATTGAGTGCTTTACACGCAGAATGAATGGCAACTAATGATGACGAGCAGGCTGTGTCGAAAGTAATTGAAGGTCCAGTCCAGCCAAAATAATGGCTTATCTTGCCACTGATGAACGCCCTCAGGCTGCCGAGGGCCGAAAACGCATTAGGTGCATAGGACCCGATGTTCTCCTGATAATCCACAGAGCCGACTCCAAGATAGCATCCCACGGAGGGTGCGTTGACTTGGCCTGTAAAATACCCAGAGGATTCCATAGCCTGGTAAGCAACTTCTAAGCAGAGTCGCTGTTGAGGACCCATCGATGACGCTTCTCGTAGGGATATCTTGAAGAACTTATGATCGAAAGAATCGATATTGTGGAGGAAGTTTCCGAACATTTTGGTATCATCTGGAGAGCGACGTAACCCTTTTGATGCAAACCTATCTATAGGGACATCCGAGACCATAGACGTGCCGGCACAGAGCAACTCCCAAAATTCGTCAACGGAGTCTGCTCCTGGAAAGCGACAAGCCATCCCCGTGACGGCAATTGCATGTGCTGGGAAGGATTGCAACAGCTCGGAAGCGTCTGACTGACCTGTCTCCCCTTGATCGTGGTGAAGTAGCTGCTAGGTTCGGGGTCTGTTCGATATGCTCGATGTGATCCAGGAGAGTGATTCGGAGATTAGATCTTTGAACTACTGATGAGGCATACAGTCAACCAATCCAAATTCTAGCACATGCTTATCATTTTCAAGGTCTAGTTTCGAAGTAGCTGCAGCAATGGTAAGGCGCCAATTGGACTGTTCGCACAACAGAGATTTCATCGCAATTTCGTGGAGAGAGCCCTCGACGATGACTTGGGAATCTGAGGTGCACCTCAGCGGCACTAGTAACCCCCGAGCGGTCGGAAGCTGCAGATCTGCTCTGGAGTTGCATAGTCGAAGAGCCGATGCCAATGCCTGCTCATTGTCAGGGTGATAAAAAAGTCCCTCGAGTCCTATCTCTTTAATGATGAGGCCCGATGTGCGAAGCGTCTTCGAAAGGGCTGGATAAGTTGCTTTTGCTGTTGTTATAGTCACCCGTGTTGATGCCTTGACCACGGATACATATGCCTGTGTAGAGGTAAGATTAGAAAAAGTCGTTATATTTGCAGTGACGAAATACCGCAGGGTACTGTTCAAGTACATCAAGAAGAGACATGTATTGAGGTTCTGAGCCCCACTGCGCCACAAAGCAAGTTGTCTCCTTTGCCGACTCTGCATATATGCCATTTAAACTAACAAACACTCCAACGATGGCAGCGAGACGCAGAACTACCGCGATATGCTCTAATAAGTCGTCGATATCATTCGAACTGGCGACGGCAGCAGCAGTGAGAAAACCTGTGCATAGTCCTTGTATACCGGCATGTGATGTGCTCTCTAATAAGTCGATTTGAGACACGTCACTTCGGGTTCGCCTGAAATACTGGGTATACTGCACGGCATGAATGATGACAGTCAGTGGAGTCAAGAGACTATTTGGGGCAGCCTCTGTTCTGCGGCTGAGGCGCCCATATTCCACCCAATTGCTAAGCTCGACAAAATCCTCCAATGCAGGAGTTTTTGCCAAGCTAGGTTCGGTGTCGATCAATGAAAACCAAAGATCTGGGAGATTCCGAGTGGCGCGAACGAGTGGTGAGAGTTGAGGATCGTTAAGTAGGGTTGCTCTTAGCTGCTCGAGATACTTTTCAGATGGCCAGGGTGTTTGTGGCCCGAAGACGATGAGAGTAGGAAGATCCATAAGGCATGAGATGCATGAAGCATGTGAGAAATAATGAAGAAACTTAGAGACGAACTCCTACGATATTATCGACGTAGGTACGTTGAAATTTAGGGGTTACAGCATTGCTCAAATGACCGAGACAAGTACTGCGGCGTAACAAAGTCACCTTGGATGGAGTCTCTATTTTGCGAAACGAAGTCCGACATTGCATTACTCGATGTGGTGGGGCTGGCGGACGAGATAACTTAGCGTGTATTGTGTCTCTGAACTGGTCGGCCGATTGATGTAAGAGGCGAAGCGGAAGGAAAGCGCTGTGGGAGCTTTGAAAAGTGGAACATCGAAGGCTGAAGCTCTCACAAATAGCACCGGCGTATAGGGAACGAAACTTAGAGGCACGGGTAGTGCTGGTGGCCCAAATGGGCTTAGATGTCTTTGATGATCGACGATTTGTTTGGGATTTACATATCGGAGTCCGGACACTCGGGTCGGATTTTTGGCGCACGTATCGGCCACTATAGACGAACTTGCCTCGGCTGTGAGCAATTAGGAATCAATATACTATCGTATAGTGATATGGAATCGCCTTTTTTCGGAGAGAATCAAAACTAACCCTCGACATCCAAAAGCAAACATGCCATCCTTCGTAACCAGCCTAGAAACCGAATCTTTTCACATACTTACAGTCGATATTAGCCCTTTTATCAGCTCGCCATCCAGTCTTCAAGCTGAAAAGGTGGTTCAGGCTATATAACTTGCATGTCGCAGCACCGGATTCTTCCAAATTACTGGCCATGGAATTCCAATGACCATGCAAGAAGGAGCGATTGATGCAGCCAAAAGATTCTTTTCAATGCCTTCGGAGGAAAAGTACGTATTGAATATCAAGAACCAGGTCGGGTTTCAAGGCTATGAACCCTTTTGTACCCAGTCGTATAGCCCGGATAATCTCCCGGATATGAAAGAGGTACGTTTCCTGGGCTCTAGCGAGAGAACAATCGACTAAAATTCTCGACGCATTAGAGCTTCTTTGTGGGACAGGATATTCCACTTGACGATTCGCGCGTAGAAGAACAGCGACTCCTTACAGGTCCTATTGTTTGGCCGTCGTCGCTTCCGGCTTGTTCTTTCAAGGAACCGGTGGAAGAATACTACGATGCGCTACGTGGACTTACGCTTCGCATCCTAATGATGATAGCCCGAGGGCTCCCATATGGTGATGATGTGTTTTCAGAGTTCATTTCCAACAACCCAGCGGCACCAATGCGCCTCCTGTACTATCCCCCACAGGAGCCTAATTGCGACAAATGGCAGCTAGGAGCGAGCGCGCATACGGATTTTGGGGCCATCACGCTCTTATTGCAGGACGACAATGAGGGCCTTCAAGTTTATAACGCGCAAACCTACAGCTGGAGCACCGTCCCGCCGCGTAAAGACGCGTTTGTAGTCAACGTGGGAGACATGCTAGAGAAATAGACAGCGAGCGGATTGAAGAGCAGTCTCCATCGCGTTGTGAATCAAGGGAGCCGCGATAGGTATTCAATCGCCTTTTTCTTTGATGGAAACCTAGATTGCACGCTAAACCCACTGGATGGGGCTCCAGTGGACGGAGAACCGGTTACGGTTGAGGAACACATGCTCCAGTGTCTGAGTGCCTCTTACAAGAAGGCTATACAATAGTTACATTTCTGGGTGGTGGCAAATGTTGGTCCTCGAATCATGTTTCGAATACACTGTAGTGGTAGCGTTCAAAGTAACTATTCACACCCCGAAAAAGGACCAAAGAGCTTCAACGTGAGGCACTCTCAGGGCAAAGTGTATGCGCTGGGAAGACCACGACGTCATCTAGGCTATGTTAGGCACATGATTACTGAAGCCCCAAAAGTCCGACGGCGTGATGGTGCCGCGTAGATGGACTCAGATGACGATGGTTGGAAAAAGTCCGAACGGTGGTGGAATGGATGAGATGGATGCAGTGGGTGGAGCTGGCGAAGAGGTGCAGTTGAAACGCTTTGGTCGAAACGAGGGGCGTGCACAGTCAGCTTCTTGCCCCCACGACTCCTGCGATCATGCACTGTCTCAGCCCTGAGCTGTTGGCGTCACCTTGACATGAATAGCCACATAGCATTGTGGCATCAACCTTTTTACTAACCGGATGATCGGATGATCTGGTGATCTTAGACATGCATAAGGTACAGCACCAAGACATAAGTTTGGGCAGTCCTGGCGACTGTTTAAGGTACCCTAATAGCCTCTTGAAACTCCAAATACATTATAAAGTTAACATAATGGAAAGCAGACTACGTTTTGACGAAGCTGATGCCTGCTAGCTGGGGTACTCCTTATAGTGGTGTCAAGTGACCAAGAGTGGGGCCAGAGCAGTGTGATACCCGTGTGCCCAGATGTATGACCTAGTACTGTACAAAGGTACATAAACTTAGGTCGTAGTACTGCAAGCTTCAATAAACTAAGTCATGTGTAATTGAAGGAGTACCCAATTGATTTGAACATATGGTACAGTCTATTCGTATCTATTCCTCCCAAGTACGCGCCTCTCAAATGCAGCTACGTATTCACAGCTTCTTACTTGCTTCTCTTCTGTCCTGTCACCGTAACTTCTCTCTTTACCGTGATAACCTCCTTGCCACAAATCCGCCAAGCTATCTCCTGTGTTGGGCATCCGACTAGATGCCAATGCCTCCTGCAACGTCTCCCCTCTTCTTGATTGACCTCTCTCCAGATCATCGTCTGAACTATCCGCATCACTCCCGCCTGCAGCATATACACGGCTCTTGCCACGGCTGCTACCATCCCATAGACGCGCCTCCAATGGTCGTGTCAGCACATACGTATCGCTACCGCTGTCGCGCTTGTCAAATCCATCATCAAACGGGGGAATAGTTGGAGCGTTGGAGAAGCGGTGTCGCTTGAGAGTTGAGAGGTGCTTGAGAGTAGACATAGGCGGGGACGAGTCATTCTTAGAGGTAATGCCGAGAGCGCAAAGCATAGACTTGAAGAACGGTAGGTAGGTGGAGAGACAGCAGCAAAGCAGACCGGTTACAGGGTCGGCTGCAGACCACAGGCCGAGGTCGACATAGCCCCCTAAACGAAGACATTAGCACAATTCCATACACTAGCAGAATGGTATCACATACAAGTAAGGTCTGCGTCGTTGGAGGTCAGCGTTACTACCAAGCGAGCAATGCTAATGACAGTAACTACACCGCCGAGCATGAATATGGAAATAACACCGATTCTCGACGATAGCGCCATTTTCAGATTCCATACTAGCCGGATTGGCAGCACGAGAATCGCTGGGTCAAAGCAAATGGTGGGAACGCTTTGCGCTAAGAAGACCGTATGTTCATCAATACAAGTGCCCGCTGCCGGATTCCAGGCCGCTGAAATTGGGTTGCAGCGGAAGATGAATGCAAATTCAGTAATCAGGAACCAGACTAGGATCATTGCGCCAAGCGTGTAGGCCGAGCGCCGGAGCCAGGACAGTATTGGGAAGAGGCGGAGGTAGAAGGCAAGAAAAGACAGTTCGAAGAAGACAAGGCCAGGATTGTAGAAGAATAGGAGGATATAGAGTAAATAGCCGTAGCACTCGAGGCGAGCCGGCGTGACTGTGACTTGATGCTTGCCGAACCCATTGGAAAGTTGGATAAGGTCGAATATTGGAGATAGAAGAGCGAATGGCTACGAAAGGTTAGACAATAAAGATACAAGGAGGTCGAGGGGCTATTTTCACATACCAGACCTGCTAAACAGAACCAGTCGTCCCACGAAAAGTCCATACGAGAGATCGATCTTGCGTAGAATCGCAGCGCGACACTGCCGACTGAAATGACTATCAAGAGCGTGCAGACTCCAATGACTTCCCCCTGCTTGGACGCATCGAGGTACTCTTGGCTATACGCGCTTGTGTCCATGGTGATAGTGCCTGCTCACATGTGCACTAGGGAATAACAAGTGAAGGACAAATGGTGGAATAGACTGCCGAAGTGAAATGCAAAGCTCGATAACATAAGGGAAGAGCTTCCAGAAGTCCTGTGCATTCGTAATACACCGTCGGAGAACTTTAGTTAAGCAATACTATAATCCCGAGACTCCTATTGGTGTAGAAGACCGAGAACTGCATGTTGTGCACTTTTTGCAAAAGTATCACCCGAGTTTGCATGGAAATAGCCGTCTTAGAGTCCGTCCTAAGCACTTCTTGCGTGGGATAGCGAGGATCCTGGTACGAGTGTTGTCCGTGGCGGCGTTGCTTGTGATTGGCTAAGAACTCCAACAAGGAATGTTCAGTTCCTTGAATCGAACGTCACCTTGTCCGCGAGCTCACACTTTCAGTCCACCAATGCTACACCAAAACGCTAAGAGTCTGAGTTGCCGATAGCTTGGTCCTGATCTCTGAAAGGTGAGTGATGTGCAGAGCTTCGATAGTCGCCGCCTCTAAGTCTCAATTAAGCCAGGGATAGCTCGCGGACTTCCAGTATGTACATCAATATATTATTCTTGCCCAACAAACATACAGAAAAGGTTCCATCACACTCTTCAGCCCACTCTTCCGCGCTCAATTCACTTTGTTCCCATTTAAGTCTAGACTCAGAACACGTCACTAAAATATGCCTTCCGCAAGTACTCCCTTTGACTACATCATCTGCGGCGGCGGCACAGTAGGGTGTGTCCTCGCTGACTGCCTCTCTCATGCAGGCAACAATGTGGCCGTGATTTAACATGGCCCAGAAGATTACTCAGACATTTTCATGAGCCCCATTGCCGCCCCTCGGCTTCACGGCACGCCGTACGAATACAACTTCATGACCACACCGCAGCCCCATGTCGGAAACCGAGCGCTCCCGAATTTCGGAGGAAAGCTACTTTCAGGATCCAGCGGGGTCAATTACGGCCTATGGACTCGAGGCCACTCTGTCGACTACGACACGTGGGCTGAGTCTGTCGGCGATGACCGGTGGAGCTACGAGCGCATGCTGAAGTATTTCAAGCGAATGGAACGCTACTACAATCCAGATGGTGATCGGGAATAGCATGGCTTTGATGGACCTTTTTCAACTACCGCTGGACACAGGAATTATCCGCTGCAAGAGACTGTCTTCAACGCATTGACCAAATCTGGCGCCAAATTCAACCCAGACAGGAACGGCGGCAATCCGATAGGCCTTGGAGCTTTCACAGAGAACTGGACCACAGAGGAGGGAGCCCATAGGCAACCAGCTAGCAAAGCGTACGACTTGTCTGAGGCAAGTGTCTTCACCAATAGCACAGTCGCTCGCGTACTCATCGACAGACAACAAAAACTGCGAAGGGTGTTGTCCTTGTTGACGGACGCATGTTCACTGCTTCTAAAGCAGCCATCGTCAGCTCTGGCGCCTTGAAGACACCGCAACTCCTTATGCTCTCAGGAATCGGCCCAGCAGAACATCTTGCAGAGCACGGCATTGAATCCATCGCCAACCTCCCAGTCGGTCAAAACCTACACGATCACATCTCCGCGAGTCTGTTCTGGAAGCTCCGCAACACAGAACGCGGTCTCGCTCTCGGTTCCCCATTCTTCAACAAGCCCGAGTTCGGCCGCGGCAACCCCTTCGAATGGCTCGTCACATCTACCATTCCTCCAGAAGATCTGAAGAAAGTAATCGCCAAGGACAGCCTGTCCCCTAACGACCCTTATATTCACGAGCCCAGAGGCCACGTCGAGACCATGGTCGCATACGCACCCATCGCTGGCGGCGGCTCAGACTTCAAGCTCCCGTTCGACGGCACTCACATCTCTACCCCCGTCGTCCTTCTTCTTACCGCAAGCCGGGGGACCGTCACACTGGCCAACACAGACCCGAACGTGGACCCAATCATCGACTCGCACTACCTCGAGACTGAAGCAGATAAGCAGGCCATGCGCACCGGCTTGCGTGTCGCGATGCGCGCTATGGAGACCGAAGACGGCCAGTCCATGGTGGTGGGAGAGACGCCACCGCCAGGTCACAAAGCTCTTACCAGCTCTTGCAGCGATGCGGACATTGACGAGAGGCTTGCTATTATAGGGAGTAGTTTCTTCCAGAATGCGGGCACGGCGGCGATGGTATGGTCGTCGATACGGAGTGTAAGGTGAAAGGCGTTAATAAGCTGCGGGTTTGCAATGCGAGTGTGCTGCCGTTGCCGATTGCTGCGCATTATCAGGCGCCGATGTATGCGTTTGGGGAGGCGATGGCAGATGTGATCTTAGGGAAGGCGTAGGGGGGGTGGTGAGACCATTCGAGGGCTTTGATGAGCTACGAGTATGAGTACTGTCTCAATTAATACAAAAGACCATTCTCTTGATACAAACAACCCCATTGTTCTGCCTTGATCAATGTCGTTTCCGCCGCAAATTGAGTACTAACCTGTTACATCCCCGTCATTGCGCCATCTTCTCTAAGCAATAAATAAGCAACTCGAATTTGCCCCAGTTTACCCAGACCCAAACCCCAAATACTCAGAAACATCCACTACCTACACTCAACCCTACTCTAAGAACCTCTAAAATGTGCATCCACTCCGAATGCCACATCTGCTACCACGGCTGGGTCGAACTCCCCCGCCCCATTCCTTTCTGCGAGGTAGCTATCCAGAACACCCTCAAAGAATGGGGACACCCGAATTACCCAAGATACTGCTCTGTTTCATTCGTGGAAGCTCGAACCTTTTGACCGGACTGCAAAGCTGTCGCGACTAGAGCGGAGAGAGAGAGGCAGGAAAAGTGGTACAATGATTTGTTTAAGCGGGCGAAGAGATGATGGGAGGCGGGGTGACGAGCTTGGAAGAAGAGGTGCGAGGAGTGAGACACGGGATGGTGAAGGTGGCGTTGACGGTTTGTGCGAAAGACATTTTCGTTGTTGATGGTAATTTGGCCTTACAGTCCCAAGACATAATTTTGGGCGCTTCTTGCAACTTTTTGGGGTGCCCCGATAGGCTTTTGAAGCTCTGAATACAATGGAATGACCGACACAGTGGAGATTAGACTGCTTTTTGACCAAGCTGATACCTGCTAGCTGGAGTGCTCATTACAGTGGTACTAAGTGAGCAAACGTAAAGCCCGACCAGCGAAATGTCCACGTACCCAAACTTATGACCGGTCACTGTAGAACTACGAATTAAAAGTCCCCAAAAGACCAATCGAGACAACCGCCGATGGCCGCCCAGGATATAAAACCAAAAACCATCGCATACGCAATCCAAGAAACCCGAATCAGCAAGTTGATCTTTGTTATTTTTTTGCTCGCTGTCATCGGGGTCGTTTACCGTGAATGAAAGGAAATCATTACAGACCAAGACATAACAAGCAAGACCTTTGCCGTTTCAGTCTTTCTACAAGAAAGACTGCAGGTATAAATTCAACTTACCTCCGTCCGCACACGATAACGCTCACTAAGCATCTACTTCGCTTACCGTCTGCATTGCTTTCACTAAGGCACGACCCACCAGCCACTCATATCCTGCAAGCATGTGCATCAAGCGTATCGAACTCCACTACTGCGCCCCGACGGGTCTTAGAAGCGTCGAGCCGAGCCCCTATTGCGAGCAAGCGCTCGAAATTGCGAAGGCTCTCAGGAGAGAACCGTCCGCATGCGAGAAGACGATTTCGAATGCCCAGAATACATGTCCGGAGTGCAAGAACACGTTCGACGCGAAGGTTGGGAGATTCTCGCACTACTCGACGAAGGGATATAAGGAGTAGAGTCTCCTTTGGAAGGTTTCAGTGGAGTGAGAGGGTATGGCGGTGACTTTATGGCGGTGATCACTATTACGTGTTGTTGTTAGACTCTTGAGAATAGTCAGAGGTGTTTCAAAAGACGTTTACTAGGGGCTCAGCATCGTATGCGTACCTTCGACGCACTACCAAGACCAACTTGGGATTCCCGGCTATGGGAATCACGTGTCTTTATCTGACTAAAAATCTTGAACACGAAATAGCGGTGAGTCAATCGCAAAATGTCCAACTCACAAATAGGACAGCACCCGTGACACGATGGCGCTCCGCAAACCATATATCAAGATCTGCAAACACCAAACTCCCTATAAAACAATTAGCACCATTTTCCGACTCTAGAGTACTCTTTCGACACAAACTATAAAGCTAGAATCAGCGCCAGTTCTCAGAGACACCTCCAGAATGTGTTACCTCAACATAACCATCCATAACGGCTGCGGCCACCGCGCTCCCTCAGTTTCGGACCCCTACACTCTCTGCAACGAAGCCCTCGCCCGCCTCGCAGAAGCGACCGGCAACATCGCAGACAGCATGCCCCCTCCACCTCCACCCAAGCCCAAACGGACTTCTACCAGTATCTCCGGCCGCTTCACCTCTCTCAAAGCCTTGGGCCGCACCTCGAGTACCAACAGCACCCTCAGCCAGCGCAGCGTCTCCGACTCCGTGACCAGCCCCATCAGCTCATCCTTCGCGTGGAAAGCGTCGCCATCGTCGGCGATAGCGGCGCGGTGTGAAACGCCGGAGGTGCGGGAGCGGGTAAATGCGGGAATGGATGTGTGTGAGGAATGCCGGCGGTGGGTGGAGGAGATGCGGTTTCTTGTGAAGCGGTATGATTCGAGCGGGAGTGTGAAGGGGTGTAAGGCTTTTGATGAGTTTTTGAGGAATAGGGAGAACGGGCATCATTATTATTGATTTACTGGGGGTAGAGGAGGGCAAGGGGCTTGTGGGACTTGTGTAACGTAAATGAGAAGGGAGATCGGGATTGGGCCTTGTGAGTAATATGATATCATGTCTCTCAAGGAATCTGAGAACTTTCGATTGAAGAAATTATTCAAGGAATCGAGTAATAGAAGATCACACTCACAGTCCTCATGAGCAAGTGCGTCGCGTGTATCTAGGCAGCAGCCAATGCGAATATCCCCTTGCTTGGAAAGAGAGGTGGAAGTCGCGAGTACCGACCTAAGCCCTTCTGGATCCTTCAATTTATCAACGAGTGAAATACACCTGCCTGTATAGCATCAAAGAGTGAAAGCTATCAAGACTCAGTCGGACCTATAAACGCTCCAGATACTCTCTGGAATCCCGAAAGACGAACTTCCTGGCGGACCTTCTACCTACCACTCTCGGCTCGCCATAGCATGTGCACGGAATGGCATCATCGCTTTCGCAGATGCGGTCATACGAGATTCTTTCGATGGGAGTACTGTAAGGGGACCAAAAAGAACGAAAGGAGCCCGGACAAGGGAACCGTTTGCCCAAGGTACTCGGCGAAGTACAGAGACAATCAACAGGGCTACAACTGTTTTGTCTGTCTCCAGGAACGGGCACAGTGGGTGACTCGGCATGCTAGGCCTGGTTCTGGGAATTGTTGATAGATTGATACGTATGCGATTTCTCCTACGAGGACATGCCATCAAACCTTTTCCTCATCTTCTCGTACTTACTATAATCCCCTACGCTTGGCTTCATATGAGTTACAACGGCCTCAAAGTCTTTTATCTCGACAACTTCGGAGCCTTCTTTCAAAGTGTGCTGGCCGGCTTTGCGCAGCAGACTACCAAGGTCCGCACCACTGAAGTTATTGCACCTGTCGTCCGCAGCGAACTCGGCTAAGCGAGGGTCGATTGGAGTTTTCTTGATCAGAGCTCTCAAGATCTGAACGCGTTCCTGTGCTTTGGGGAGGCCGACAAACAATGGTGTCTCAAGTCTTCCTGGTCGAAGCATGGCATCGTCTATCATATCTATACGGTTGGTAGCAGCAATGAGATATATCCCTTCTCGTGTACTAAGGCCATCCAGTTCTGTGAGAAGGGTGTTGACAACTCGAGCGGAGGACTCTGAAAGCGCTTCACTGCGGCGCGGAACCAGGGCATCAATTTCATCGAAGAAGATAACACATGGTACGGAGGAGCGGGCGCGCATGAACACCTGCCGGACTGCTCGTTCTGATTCTCCGACGTACTAGAAGCAAATCATTAGCAACTGAGAGATTTCATGGGCGAACAAACTGATAGATAATGCACGAACCTTATTGAGTAACTCGGGGCCTTTGACGCTGATAAAGTTGGCCTTTGATTCTGCAGCGACGGCTTTTGCGAGTAGTGTCTTTCCACATCCCGGTGGACCCCACAGTATAACACCTGTCGGAGCGGATATACCGACGTTCTTGTATCTTTGGGGATTCTTGATGGGCTCCACGATAGCAGTCTGAAGCTCTTCTCGTATAGACTCTAGAGCTCCAACATCTGCCCAGGTTGTGTCTGGTACGGTAGCGAAGCCTTCCCGCTTTGAAGATGGCTGGATGCCAGGTAGAACAGTTTCGAACGCTTTCATTGTAATAGCAGTGTCTTCAAAGCCTATGGGACGGAGTTGAGTTTTGTCCCTGACCCGGCTGATGAGACGACTTATTGATCGGTCCATGTCTGACGGTTTTGCTATGCTTTCTGCGTCGTCCACGTCCATCTCAATCTCCATATCGGCTGCTTGCTTCTCCAAAGCCTCTCGGTATTGGTCCATAGACCATGTTCCTGCTTTCCCAACAAGATCCCTCAGGTCTGCGCCGACAAAACCTGCCGTCATCTTAGCGAGTTTCTTGAAGTCCACATCCGCTGCTATGTGGGTGTCTCGTGTTTGAGCTCTAAGAATAAGCTCCCGCATTGACTCGTTTGGTACTCCCATATTTATTTCGGTGTCAAATCTTCCGCCCCTTCGTAGCGCTGGGTCTAGGCTATCCGGCCGATTCGTAGCTGCAAGGACGATGACCGGTTTGCCATCATTCGCTTCCATTGCAAGTCCATCCATTGAGATTAGAAGCTGGGCCACAATTCTCTTCTCCATCTGACTTTGAGCAGTGTCTCGCTTTGGAGCAATGACATCAATTTCATCGATGAATATGAGGCATGGTGCAACCTCTTTCGCCTTCTCGAAATGTTCTCGAATCTGCTTTTCAGACTCCCCTGACATTCCTGAGACAACTGACGGACCTAAGATCTCAATGAAAGGCACACCGATCTTTGCTGCGAATGCTCTCGATATGACAGTCTTTCCGCATCCTGGGGGGCCATGTAACAGAATACCACGAGGTATTGGGATCTTGCGCTTCACGTACTCCTCGGGGCATAGGAGAGGCAAGACTAAATGATCCTTTAATTCGCGCTTGATAGGATCCACGCCTCCCACATCCTCTAAGCGTACGTGGTTCGGGGGAGTGGTATCGATCTGGGGCGACTTGGTTTCCGTTCGCTTTTGCTTCTTGGCTTCTCGCTCGCCATTGACAATTTTGCCCCCGTCTCTTTTCTTAACCTTCTCGCCATTTGCTACTGGCGTTGCTGTGCCGGAAGACATAGTTGTCTTTGCCCACGATTTTACGATGTTCTGGTTCATAAAATCCGAAGCATCCGGATTCGCCCTGTCGTCTCCACCAAAATCTCCCTCTATCGAGCCCAACTCGTCGTCTTCACTTTCATCTTCCAACAAAACTGCTAGCACGCGTTCGATGCTGTCCTCAAGCAACTTCTTCGGCCTCCTCTTCAAGCTGGAATTCGATTTCTGGACCCATCCATACACGGTCGGGACTTTGATTTTCTTGATGCTCTCAGACTGCTCATCTATGAGCTTCCGGACGATCTGGTAGACGTCCCGATCAAGGCCTTGTTGCAGCGTTGGCCTCCCCATCGCTTTCGTTGCGAATCGTGTGGAGAGTTTCGCGTCTCAAATTTCTGAGACGAAATCTAGATTGATGCCAAGCTGCTCTTATCGATAAGCTCACGTGGCGCCTTGGCACCGTCGAGACAACAACCCAAGTCAAGGCACACGAGCAACCCTTATGGCGACAAGAACACCTTCACTATGGGGAATACAGGCAGTTCCAACAAGATCTCTGCCCAGGATAAGTGAGTGTAGACCGTGTACTCAGTCTCAGTTCTATTGCTCTAATATCCTTCTAGGGCTATCCTTGATATGAAGAACCAACGGGACAAGCTTCACCAGTACCAAAGACGCATTACCGTAGTTACAGACCGCGAGAAAGAGGTTGCGCGGCAGTGTTTGAAGAAGGGCGACAAAAAGAGAGCGTTGCTAGCCCTGCGCCGCAAGAAATACCAGGAATCGCTCCTCGCGAAGACGGACGCGCAGCTGGCGCAGCTCGAGATATTGACCAACGATGTCGAGTTCGCACTGGTACAGAAGGATGTTGTATTCGGGTTACAACAGGGAACCAAGGTGCTGAATGAAATACACAAGGAAATGGGTGGCATAGAGGGGGTCGAGAAGCTGCTGGCCGAGTCGGAGGAAGCTAGAGCATCTGAAAGGGTTCGTCGTGATCCGTCTACACTGGGCATCCTAGAGGCTGTACTAACTGCGATCGCTTTTCAGGAAATCAGTGCAATGCTGAGCGGGCAAATTACCAACCACGACGAGGACGAAGTAGAGGATGAGCTCGAAGCTCTTGAACGGGAGGTCTCAGGTATTAAACTACCGGACGCGCCTTCGAACAAGCTACCGGAGAACGAGCGGGTGCAGGAAGAGACTCCACGCGAAAGAGCTCGAAGGAGAGCTAGAGAGCAAGCAGAGAACGAGACACCGGAGCCTTTGCTTGCATGATGATATCACGATTCCCTATGCCTGCTATTTGCTGCATTTCAGCGACGGAGTTGTACTAGACGAGCCTTGGTTTTGATGTTCATTCTGATTATATTATGTTTAGCAATTAGCTTTTAAGCATGAGCCCAAGACTGAGTTGTTCTTGCTTAGCTGCTGGATAGAGCCGCAAGGTTCTGGGGTGGCCCAATTAGGTAGCTCGGCGGTCGACCACGACCATTCGAAAGTGGCCATGATTTTTGCCTTGACGATTTTCAGACTCCCTTTTGATTCTGAAAAATGTATGGAAGCACCCCAAACGCTGCCAAACGGCTACCAATACACAGTAGAAGGATGAGAGCGTGAAATGACGTAGCCACGTGCCACGTCTTGACTTCCGCTCGGATTCTGCTGCATTCTCCTCCACCATCAACACCATGTAAAACCCACGAAGCTGCTCCGCACAGCGCTATCTACCCCCAAAACGAATTATGTCTTGCCACGATGAACACGGCCACGGCGGCCATGACCATGAGCACAGCGAAGCTCACGACCATTCCGACGACATCACGCCCGCGCTCCAAAATCTGCTCTACGACCAAATCGATTTCAGCGCACTTCGAACACTGAATGAGGAGGACTCGTCATCTGGCCGGGCTATCTGTCAAAAGACATGGGCGCAGCGACTAGATCCTGAACCCGAGCTCTTGAGTTCTGCAGATGAGCAGCTTCTCATGATTGTTCCGTACGCCTCGTTCCATTTCACGTTCAAAAGACCGCCGAAAGGGCATAATTCTGGTATATATACTCACGTTTGACTATAGCTTTACCGGACAAGTCCGCCTCCATAGCATAATCATCCGAACCTCTCCCTCTCTGTCTGCGCCCAAGACCCTCAAAGTCTTCATAAACGACCTGGACCTCGACTTTGGCACCGCGACAGAGAAGCCGCCCACGCAGACCTTCGAGCTCTCCCAGACATCTGAGGTTCAAGAGCTACCTGTCCGTCGGGCGCTTTTCAACACTACGCGTAGCCTCTCGCTCTTCTTTGAGGACAACTTCAGCGATGGCGAGGAGGACGTCACGAGGATTAGTTATGTGGCATTCAAGGGCGATTTCATGAGGCTGAACAGGGAGCCGGTTAGTGTGATGTTTGAGGCTGCGGCGAATCCGGCGGACCATAAGGCAATTGTAGGCACGAAGTCGGGTGTGGGACATCAAATTCAGTAGTCCTACTCTTTTCGCCGAAGATCCTAGGAGCATAGGGGAGATTTCCGATGCTCTCCCTAGAAATGCTCATCGCTGCGAGGTTGAAGTCAAGCAAACCTGAGTATGCGAGGGGGACTGCGAGGAGTGCTTTTCATAGCTCGCTATGCAATACAGAGTCGTCAAAAACTCAACACCCCAAATTGAAGTTGCATAGATAGAATAGATGAGTGCGTCAGATGACATTGCACAATGTTGACCGTTGTGAAGGGTACCTCAGCATACTCTCAAGATTTGAACAAGAAGCAAAAAGTTGTTTGGTAAGATCTCTGAGGTTGGTGGTCTATCTCAACCGCAGGTGTCTTCATATTACGATTACGATTAGTGTGCTCAGCGCCCCGTGAAACCCTCTATAACATCATGTGTCGGATCACTACGACTGGAAGTCTAGTCAATTTTGGGCGTGATGTTTCTGCAAAGTTTGCAAAGGCTGGTTATTTTCGGGTAAAATTGGAGCAGTAGATCGAAGATACATACTTTGTGGTGTCATTGCAACCATATGCAATTTCTGTAGCCGCCCTCCAAATCTCCAAAGCGCTGCCTGGTTCCAAAGCCCTGGACTCTATTCGAGCACTCGTGATCCGCTCAACCTTGAGAATCGCTGAAATTCCGTGCCACATCGCTTCTTAAAGCCGCTCTTTCGTAGGGTATTAGCTCGCCGGCCCTCGTGCTACCAGCGATGTGCGCACTCGTCCTCTTTTGGAGCCCATGCCAAAGCCCCGCTCCTCAAACATGCTTCGTTCCCCCAATCCCCTCCCCTTTCACCTCCTCCCAATTGATGCTCGCGTCGATCTCTTCGTCCACCTCGCCACACACGACCACTGAATCTCCTCGGATCATGTAGAGACCCTGCTCAGTCTGCGAACTCTTCTCCCCGCTGTCGGCAGTCGCTATAATGCGCTCGATGGTGTTTTGTAGGACGAGGTTTGTGTTTTGGTCGCAGCTGATGAGGGTGCCGACAAGCGTGCGGCCGTCGCTAGTTATCACGCAGACTTTTTCTGATGTACAGTATCAGTATTGAAGAGTGGTGAATATGGATAGCGGGGTGAGACATTACTGTTGAGATAGGAGTTGAGAGACATGGTGAGGCTCTGTAGGGTGTAGTGTGAGTGGAGAGTAAGTGACGCGAATTTGACGTGTTGTAGGGACAGACTGCGGATCTCAATCCTTCAGGTTGTGGTGGAGAGGACTGTGTGTTGATGAAAGTTAGAAACACGACCTTAAAAGGTGGTCCAAGCTGATGAATCGATCCCCTGCAGCCTGCCCCTCCATCTATGTACTCCTTTTCCAACGACATCCTATCCCTCTTCAACCTTAGAGACTGAACACACACCTGCTCGGTGGTATGAGCACTTATAAGCTCTTCTAATGCGTCTAGAAAGCTTTCAAGCTCTACTATCCGCATCTAACACAATTTTAGCCTTTTAGGCAACCTTTTTTGAACTCAGTCACCTACTCTCCTCATCTCTACACTCCCTCGTCGAACACAGATCTGTGTGCCTCTTTCTACTACTACTAGAAGTGCATCGAAAGACCTTCAGAATTCCGGATTTCCTTTGGAGGATTAATTATCTCGCCAGGCCACTTCAGACAGTGACTGCCTAGTGTACACATGCTGGTCTAGTAAGTGCTATCTCCAGGTCCTCATCGGGACATGGAAGCACTAGAAGTGGTGTCAGAAGAGTGTTAACTTTCGATGAAGAGGCGTCACATTCTGTTCCTGGTCGATATCTAGGACTGGATCATTAGTTTGGGCACACCGACAGATCTCTACTCGGGCCCCACTCTTGCTCCCTCAATACCACAAGGAGAACTAGGCTAGCTAGTAGGTAGCCTGCCAGTCAAGAAATTGCGTTATTGTAACTGTATCAACCATTACATCGCGGTCGGAATCCTAAAAGCTTATCGAAGTACCCCAAACAGTGACAAAAGGACGTATTTGGAATTTTGGCAAGACACTATACCGTGCCGGCAAGAACACGCTCGTTCGTTTCACTATGCCGTCTATCTGTAGAATTCTTTCTCTCCTGCCTGGTATATTCATACGTTTCTGACGCTACAACTCTCGAAGAGGAGATCGACCAGATACACAACGGACCGCCTCGAGAGCCTTACTCCAACACTTTCACTCTACTTCGTACCTGCCGCTAGATTCACAAAGAGAGCAGTCTGATCGCCTTCCAGAATGTTCCGTTCCGGTGCCATTTTCCCTCTCGCTATCTAGAGCTACCGTGTACGTCAATTACTCTCAATGGCCACCTGAGAACCTTAGCCATAGATCAGATTAGCTCTATAGGACACATGACCACCAATATTCCTAGAACTGCTGTATCAACATCAACTATTTGTCGCAATTGGGGGAGATCACTCAATTGCCACTTCTCCTGGATACACTCGTCCTCATTGGGAATGACGATTACCCGGTTCCATCGTATCATGCAACTCAGCTGTTCTCGTTTCTTTGCCAGGGTGCTCGCGACGGCGTTTTTCAGAATTTGTCACTGTGCAGAGAATTGGGGGCCAATGCTCCGCGACTAAAATTATATTCTTTAGTGCAGAGTTCTTTCGGACCAATCTCTTGTCGTACTATCACAATCCGATAAATCCTAGGCCAATTCCCTCGGGGGCCCCGCTAGCACAAAACATGACTTTCGCCGAACGATGGAATTATGATAGGTTCGTCGAGGGCGACTATATATTTTCTGACTTCGATGAGCTATTTCGTCTTTGGCGCTGGTCGTACTCCGCTGGCCAATTTTTGGATCCCGCGGACCTAGCATAGATCTCAAAGTCGAGTTTGATCGGATCTAAATCTGCGTGTTATCCTCTACCACAACTGAAGGGACCCCAGCGCACTTTAGGAAATCTGAACATGACTCGAGTCTATCATTTTGAACAGTTAGAAATAAGCAGCATCGTATTGGTGTTTCGCTTTCAATCTCTTCAGACGCCCACCAGCCTTCTAACCCTCGTTTACGCGTTCTCGAAAATCAGCTTCCCATATCCCGTGTATTGCAAGACAACGCTGGCCTTCTTCATTATGTCGTCTGTCTCCAAACTGCTTTTTCTTCCTGCAGAGCTATAGAGAGTGCTGTACTCCTACCCTCTCGGTCTCGTTCTTCCCAATTCCATCAACACAGGACGCTGCATCTCGGTTCAGTGACATTCAATACTAGTATCGAATAAAAAATCTCCTCGCCTAGCGCTCGATCCGTCCTACCTCCAAGATAAAGCATCCTAACCTTTCGCTTTTTCGCCATTCAACCCCCTAGCATGTGGATACGGGCCAAAATACGCCACAGCACAAACCCACTCCCTCAACACACGCGCCAAAGTATCCCCCGACTACAGGCGCTAGATTACTCAAACATTCACGGCTCAAACACTATCTTCTTGACCTTATTTACAATTCACAAACAGCAACTTAACCAACCACCCCCACACCACCCTCACACCATCCCCCCAGCACTCTCCCCAAACCCTCCAAACCCCCCAAAAAGCGTTGCCCCATCCTGCCTTTCCTGCGCCGCCCCCCTCCTCGCACACGTATACCACTCCTCCTCCTCCTCACTCCCCGAGCTCAGTTCCCTCACCGTCTGCGGCGACGTAACCGCCAAGCCAAGCGTCGTCAGCTTATCCTGCAAAATCGACAACAGCGCGGGATTCCCGCCACGGAAAGACGCCAGCAGCGACGTGAGCGACGCAACCAGGTCGCGTGGGCCGAGCGTGAGCGAGTTGGCCGTAGAGTTTGAAGAAGCGTAGTTTGCGTGCGGGGGAGGGAAGGGGAAGGCGGGGGGTGAGGAAGAGCTGGAGGTCGGGGAGAGGCTGAGGTTGGGCACGCAGATCATGACGTCGGCGAGGGTGTTGGTGATGTCGAAGAGTTTGGTTTCCTTTGCGGGCGTCAGCTCTCACTCATTCGATGATTGGACCTTGGAAAGGGGGGGTCCAACGCACCATCCCAGGCCCATGCGCTTCCAAGCTCTCCCGCGACAGATTCGCGGCTTGCGCTAGCACGCTCTTTGCGATCTTGGCTGGGAAGGAGAAGGAGAACTCGTCGTTCTCGTCTGCGGTATGCAGATTTGTGACAGCTAAAGCATGCTGCCAGAGGTAGATCCGCATCCATTGCTGCGTCATGGAGATATCTGCGCGCTGGATCTCGTTGCCGGGGGGTAGGCCGGCGAGGAGTTCTTGGCTGAGGCGGCGTTGGGCGCGGGAGACGGCGAGGCGGGAGACGGCGGAGTCGGCGCGGATGGTCTCGTCGAGGATGTGGAAGAGGTGGCAGAGGCGGATGAAGGTGGCTGAGATGGTGCCGTCGGTTGTGTGCTCGAGGGGTGGGAGGTCGGAGGCGCGTTCGAGAGTTATGGGGACGTCGTGTTGGATTGAGTGGGCTCTTTTACGGGGTCTGTGAGTATACTATGGTGATGAAGAAATGAAAGTGTGACGATGCTGAAGCGATAGAAGACTAAATGACGTGAAGAGAAGCTGATGAGGTACAGTAAGGCTTAAGGAGAACCCCCTGAAAGACTGATATATAAGTTCCACGACATCGCTCTCGTGCTCAAAGCAAACCAGAAGCATTTGAAAACTTGTTGGAAAGAGACTGGTTGCAAACTCACCTTTCAGTGATAAACAAAAGCCAATATATCCTCAACAAGTACTGCTGCTGCTCCGGCTCAAGACTCTCATAGTACGTAGGCTTGTGCAAGCCAACCATATGCGCCATAGTAATCGCTTCAGTCAAAAACAATGTCGAGCTCGACATCCGCCCGATGTTCGCAGAGTACACATGAAGGAAGAAGCAGCCCAGCAGCGTTGATGGGGTAGGGTGTTCCTGATAGTCGTATGAGAACCTCGCCCGTTTGGCCTCAGATTCAAAGTGACCACCCGACATAGGAGGATATCCAGCTGCTGTAGATAGATCGACACTGTCGTCGTATTGGAACTGGGTGATAGTAGCCGCACAGACGGCGCATGCGAGGGTATAGGCTTCCATGTCGTTTTGATGCGTGAGGAGGCGAGCGATCAGTGACTCGGTATCTACGACCGGCCAAATCCCGTAAGCTCGTGACTGGTAGATTTCCAGGTAGCGGGAGAGAGTTGATATAGACACTCGAGATGATGCTTGAGGAAGGTCTTCCAGTGACGGAATCGGTGGTGCTTTGAGGTATCCATATTCCTCAAAGGTAAGTTGGGACTCCGATCTAGAAGAGACACTCTCTGGTGGCAAAGAGCTATCAATCGGCTCGACATTCGAGGGGAAAGAGCTGTCAAACCCAGCACTCGTAGGAGCTTCAACGGGACTGGCGCTCGTAGCACGTGACGAGTTCTGAATACTATGTATCTTGGCCGCAGTATGCCCCCTTGGGCCCTTTGGCCCCGATTTCTTGTGAGTCTTCAGATACGTGCAGTTCCATGACGCTGAAATACAGCGGGAACATGGTTGGCTGCCGTCACACCGAATCTTTCGCACTGAGCAAGCGTCGCATGCACGGGACGTCCCCTTGCGAGAAGGCATTGGTCGCAGGGATCGGGATTGGTGCTATCGGTAGGATTTCGCATCCCCGTGTGGTGGAAGCTATAGCCGCATGCTGTGTTCCCTACTCAAATTCTGGAACAAGCTGGTGTAGCGTAGGTTGGATGTGCTGGGTTGGGTCGGTGGGACTGCGGTAGTGTGGTGAGTTTGACGTATCGCCTTGAGGCGCATATCACATAGTAAGTGTTCGATAGAGTGGAGACGCGACTCGGCAACAGAAAAACTAGAGGAAATATGCCTAGGAAGCTGCAGAAGGTTGAGACGCAGCCGTCGTTGAGTTGCCACCAGGTGCGGAGCCTGCATGGATAATCTTCGGTAGGCGGGATCGAGGCACCAATCACGAACACTTTCAAAGGATTCAGGTATATATATGCGGGTAGGAATAAGAGATCTGATATTCTGCTAACGTCTGGTGCGCGATTAACGCTATTCGACCCGTTGTTTCCCGGCATTTGGCTGAAAAAGACGCGATATTTTCTACGTTCGTCCTCTGATATCTTCACACATCCAGGTATAGGTAGTCTCAAAGACGAGCATTCCAAGTACATTCCAGTGAGTGCCGAGAATCGTAATCTCTATCTATACTGAGATGCCAAAAAGTCTACTAAATACACCTAGAAGACGCTACGACCCCTTTGTTTCAATATATTCACGATGTACGCTACCTTTCTCCACCATCGAGTTCACAAGAGCTAGTGACAGCCGCCGTTCAGCTCCTGGGACAGCGCTTTCGCCGTCGAATACTATGGCAATCTCCTCCAAAGTCCTACCTTTCGTCTCCGGGAAAAGAAAGTAAATGATGAAAAGCATCGAAGTCAGCGTCGCGATATATACAAAGTAAAACTTCCACTGTATAGCACCCAGCGCTATGGGATTGACGTACTGGTTGAAGAATCCTGCTCCGAACACAACCGTCAAGTTTATAGAGAGCCCTTTGGAACGAAGGTGAAACGGGAGGATCTCGACCGGGTATGCGATCGAGAGGGGCGTGAAAGCAATGTCATAGAATCCGAAGAAGACGAAGAGGAAAGCAACTACGGCACTTCCTGCGGATTTAATATGCTGTTCAGCGAAGACGGCGGAGAGTGCAGTGACAACGATGAAAGAAACAAGCATGCCACAGGCCGAGATCATCCACAGCGGCCGACGTCCATATCTCTCGGCAGCCATGGCTCCAGCAGCTGCCAGAAGAGCATTCCACATTTGGAGACCAAGATTGATCGCGGCTTGTGAGACCGAAGAAGTGATACCGACGGACTCGAGTATGGGAGCCAGGTAGTAGGAGACGATTCCGTTGCCGGCCCACTGGATCATGAAGCCCACCAAGACACAAATCAGGAGTCGATGCCGGTTCCCTTTCGATTCCAAAAATGATCTGAATCCAGTTGAGTTTGCGACTTCTCTTTCTTGTTCGATTGCTTCGCATATCTCACTGAACTCATACTTCACAAGCTCGTCTTCAGCATCACCATTTGCGTGATACCTCGCCAGGATAGTAAGAGCCTCTGCCATTCGATTCTTCGAAACGAGCCATCTGGGCGATTCGGGAACTATGAAGAGGCCCAGAAGTTGAATGCCAGGGAATAGTCCTTGGAGAAGGCATGGAAGCCTCCAGCTCCAGCTGCTATCGAGAAACAGAGTTCCGAGCGTAACGCACGCAGAGACGATGGCGCCCCAGTACCAGACGGCCTGGAATAGTGCGGTCACTTGGCCCCGGTGCTTCGGATGCGCAATTTCAGTTGTGAGGGGCGGTGCTGATGTTTGTGAGAATCCAAGTCCAATGCCAAGCATGATTCGAGTGCCTAGAAATGCCCAAGGACCGTAGGTTGCACACTGGATTATCGCAGCGGCGACCATAAGGAAGGATCCAATGCCTACGGTGTATCGGCGGCCTATCTGATCACTCACGTACGAAGCTGGAATAAAGCTAGGGAGTCCTCCTAGGCTGATACCAGCAATGATGAGGCCTAGGATATTGGTCGATATATGTCCCAGGTCATCCTTGACTATACGCGATCGTCAATATCCTGAAGCTCTACTAATGCATGGATGTGCATACACCGAGGAATCGCAAGCAAGCCATTCATAAGGCTTCCGTCGAATCCGTTGGCAGCTGCGGAGGCGAACATCATTCCCACGCCAATGTTGAGCCTCCGGAGCCCAGGATCGTGTATCCATTTCGAGTTGACGTTATTTCGGAGACTTTTATACGCAGCATTTCCACCTTCCAAGACGATGCCGCCTGGTCCGCCCATTCTTGGAGCTGTAATTGGTAGCTTTGAAGATCGAGACTGGGAGGCGCAGGACGGGTAATAGTGCCTCAGATTGAGCATCCACGGCCGAAGTTATTGCTCATGGACAGAAAGACAGTAGAGTCGAGGTGCTCTTATATAGAGATAATTAACAAGAAGAAGAGGTGTTCAGGTTACACGCCTGCATGGAGCACGGAGCTCCTCAAGACCACTTTCGAGGCATTTGGGGAAGTGTGGCGGTTGGTGGTAAACGGCATGAGGTGAGTGACACTGGCTAAAGCAGAGGCCGAACCGGCACTAATGCACCCGCTTTTCCATCCCCAGATCCGGAGGCACACTAGATGCATAAAAGGAATGCCATTTGCTGGGATGCTAGCGTGGTGGCGGTAGAATACGCGGAAAGATTTTGCATCGCACCTTAGCGCTTCTCTGCCAGTCAATCATCGCCGTCTGCCCGTCTCCGTGAGAAGTGGCTTGCTGCAAAAGACGCAAGGCGGCAGAGATGCCGTTCTCGACCGCCGGACCGCTTCCAAAATGGAGGTCTGGAAGGCTCCTGTTGTGGTGAAGTCTGCTGATTGATGGCCTTACCTTCTCACGTTGTTCCGAATGCGCCCGACGTGTGCTAGATTCGACGTTTGATAGTCTTTTCAACGAAAAAGGGCTTTTGATGACATCGAGAAAAATCCTCCGGAACGAGGAGAGTAGGTAGGTTGAATTTGCGGGGAAGCTCTAACTGTTCTCGGTAAGCCGGTCACGTGAGGTCATCGGTCACGCTTTCGAGAGTGAGATACAATTGTTCTTTTCAACAATGGAGCAATAAGGTTCTCAGGACAGTTGAATAGCATGAAACAGTCGATTGCCTGGCTAAAAACGCTCTGCTTGTTTCATGAAGCTGCTTAAGCAAGGAAACCTACTTTTAGCCTATCGCATTCGCTTCAACCATCGTTTGATTCATTTGTCGTGACGCCAAGTCTGCTACCATCTATTTCGCCTTCTCCTGCTTACCCGTCGGGATTTGGAAGCACACAGCCGGCTCACCATGTTTGAATGCCTTGTCGATTCTGAAGTATCCCTTCCGATCGAACTGAATGATGTCGTCCTCCTTCAGCTCAGCCACATTGCAGTCCGCTAGCGTATGCGAGCGGAACTCCGTCTTTGGCGTCAAGAAGTCCTCCAACTGGTCACCCTCCTCGAGCTTGTCCTTCGTAATCAGGTAGTCGAAGTCTACGAGGTCGACTGGGATGAGCTCCTGATCGGTCGAGAGCCACGTGATTTTCTTGCTAGTCTTCTTGACATCACCTTGGAGGTGTAGCTCAAGCTCGACGCCGGTGACGGTTTTTAGACCTGCGGGTGAGGCGAGCGGGTTGATGGAATGCGAGACACTGCGTACGATAGCGTTGCCCCAAGCCATAAGGGTGATCTCCTCGTCTTGCGCGAAAGAGGCGGCATCGGCCTGCTCGATGAGGATGGACTGACTATATACGACCTTCTTAGTTCCGACGGCCTTGTTCTTGGCGTGCTTGTCTTTCTCCTCGGTGTAAGGGGCGTCCCGGGCGCCGATAACTTTGACGGGGACTTTGCCCTCGGTGGATATGGCGGTAAAACGGGGCGCAACTGGGTCGATGTACTTCTTGTTGGTAGCCCAGAAGGTTGTCCAATCGAGATTTACGATGTTCTTGGAAGGGCCCTGCTTGAGAATGAACTCCTGTAAAGCAGGAATCGTCATACCGCGGCGGCGAACACCACGAACAGTAGGCATACGCGGGTCGTCCCAACCCCACACTACGCCAGTGTCTACGATACGGGTGAGCTTGCGCTTCGAGAGCAGGGTTCGGCGGAAGTTCATGCGGGCAAAGTCCCAGTTGTAGACATTGCGAAGCTTGAGGGCTTTCAGGAACCATTGGTACTGAGCGTCGCGGTCCTTGTACTCGGTAGTGCGGAGAGCGTGTGTCACTCCCTCAAGGGCATCGATGAGAGGGCAGCAGAAATCGTAGGTTGGGTAGATCTTCCACTTGTCCCCTGTCCGGTGATGAACCTCGGGGCTGCAGCGATAGATGACCGGATCACGCATGGCCTTGTTCGGGTTGTCGACCGAGATCTTAGCCCGAATGCACCAACGTATACCCTCAGCCGTGCCCTTCTTCATCTCCTCGAACCTGGCCAAGTTGTCCTCTACAGTCGCATCACGTCGCTCGCTGGCAATGCCGTTCATGCGCTCATCCCGCATCTTCTCCTGCAGCGTGTCGTCCGCATAGGCGTTGCCGTCCTTCAGGATCTGTACACAGTACTCGTATAGCTCCTGGAAGTAGTCACTCGTATGAGATGTCTTGTCTGCCTTGATGCCCATAAGCGCCAGATCCTCCACAATTGCATCCTGGTACTCCTGTTTCTCTTTGATGGGATTGGTGTCGTCGAAGCGGAGGAGGAGGATTCCCTTGTACTTCTTGTGCGCGAAGAAGTCATTGAGAAGGGCGGCTTTCGCGTGCCCGATGTGGAGATAGCCTCTTGGAGAGTAGTTAGCACATAGCATGGAATTGAGTCTGTTCAGGCAACGTACGAAGGCTCAGGCGGGAATCGCGTGATGACGGTCCCCTCAACCTCCTGTAGTCCAATGTCGAAGCTCCCACCCTCATCCTTGGCCTTCTCTTCTGCTGTCTTCGTTCCTTTGGCAGGGCGTACAGGTAGCGTCGCGGTCTCGGGTGATGTCTCCTCGATGTACTTGAACCATCGAGACAAATTGGCCATGAGGCCTTGCTTGATGTAGGCATGCGCCACGCGGTTCTCTCTCAGTGTCCTCCAGACGGTAGTATCGGCGTCTGAGAGACTGTATCCCACGATGTAAGATCGGAGGGTCAGATGGGCGTCAAGCTCAGCTAGTGCACCTTCGATGCTCTTCAGGTTAAGAGCCGTGAGGTTCTGAGCTCTAGCCTGCCACTCGTGAATTTGGGCGTCCATGGTGAGCGCGAATCGATGGTGTGATGAGCTCCGGTCAGGAGCCGCAGGGTTTTATGCTGGATTGGTGGCTAGAATACTGTATGACTCCTTGAACAGGTGATTCAGGAACCTTAGAACGACAATTTTCTGCCCCACTACAAAGGATCGTCTCAGCCCCTCACTACAAACAACACTTACTAGGTACTTCGTAGAGTCACAATACACGCGACGATATCAATTGCACTCTGACGCTATTGTTTTGCTCGGTGGAGCCGCTCAGAGCCACTCTTAAAGGTACGCGCGTGGAAGGCCTTCACCATCATTTATTGTTGCCTGACCTGACTCAGAAAGGTGAATCCCCATCATGGCCGACGCAGGACCTGCAGAGCCGTCGAAAAACGCGTTGAAGAAGGCGGCCAAGGAGAAAGAGAAGGCCGAGAAGAAGGCCGCCGCAAAAGCTCGAGAGCTGGCTGAGCGACAGAAGAAAGAGGCCGACGATGCCAACGACGTCTCCGTTGACTCATATGGCGAGCTCCCTCTATGCGGATCCGTCGAATTCAAGCCTACAAACATCCCTCGGGAATCGCTAGCCAACATCGCCCAGCATGAAGACAAGACCATTGTCTTCCGCAGCTGGGTTGTGAATGCCCGTGTTCAGTCCGCGAAACTAGCTTTCTTGAACCTGAGGCAGGGGCTCCATACCGTTCAGGCTGTCGTGGCCGCGAGCGAGACGCTAAGCAAGCAGATGGTCAAGTTCAGCGGCAATATCTCTACCGAATCAACGATTGTGGTGCATGGCTTGGTCAAGAAGACGAAGGAGCCGATCAACAGCGCGTCGATCAAGGACTACGAAATCCACATCCAGAAGCTATTCATCGAAGCCAAAGCTGAGGTGCCGCTACCTCTGCAGGTCGAGGATGCCGAACGCCCAATCCCAAGCGAAGGACTAGGAGACGAGGACGACAAGGCTACGGAAGGAGGCGAGAAACCTATTGTGGGGCTAAATACAAGGCTGAACAACAGGACGTTGGACTTGCGAGCAAAGACCAATCAGGCGATCTTTGTCATCAAGAGCGGTGTTTGTGCTTTGTTCCAGGAATTTCTTAGCCAGAAGGGTTTCATTCTCATCCAGACTCCCAAAATCCTAGGCGCTGCGTCAGAGGGCGGCGCAAATGTCTTCGAGGTCAAGTACTTCGACCGCCCTGCCTTTTTGGCCCAGAGCCCCCAGTTCTACAAGCAGATGCTCATTGCTTCCCGGTTCCAGCGCGTTATGGAGATCGGGCCTGTTTTCCGTGCTGAGAACAGCAACACTGCGCGTCATCTGACTGAGTTCACCGGGTTGGATATGGAGATGGAGTTCCAAGAGAACTACCACGAAGTCATGGGCATGCTCGAAGATTTGATGCTGTTCATCTTCAAGGAGCTTAACTCCAGGTACAAAAAGGAGACCGACCTCGTCCGAAGTGTTTATCACGTCGAGGAGTTCAAGCTTCCCGAGTCGGGCAAAGTACCCCGAATTCCATTCACAGAGGGCATCAAGATGCTCCGAGAAGCTGGAGAAAAGCTAGGCGACTATGACGACCTAAGGTGAGCCCTTCCGATCCTTCCGATTCTTCCTATGTACCCCTTCGATCTGGCTATATCTAACTCCCTACTCAGCACACCCCAGGAGAAGCACCTCGGCCGACTTGTCCTCGAGAAGTACGGCACCGACTTCTACGTGCTTGACCAATTCCCCCTAGCAATCCGACCCTTCTACACCATGCCTTCTCCCGCGGACCCTCTCCTCTCAAACTCCTACGACATGTTCATGCGCGGCCAGGAGATCCTTTCCGGCGCCCAGCGTATCCATGACTCGAAACTCCTTGACAAGCGCATGCGCGAGCACGACCCACCGGTTGACCCTGAAGGCGCGGGCACTAAAGACTATGTGCAATCGTTCAAGTATGGCTGCCCGCCGCATGGTGGCGGAGGCTTTGGATTGGAGCGTATTGTGCAATTCTGGCTGGGTCTACCGAACATTCGGATGACTAGCTTGTTCCCGCGTGACCCTATAAGGCTCATGCCTTAGATGGAGGGGACGATAGGTAGTCATTGGACTCTGATTTTTTCCCTTATCGAGGATAAAACTTGCTTCTGCCAGCTCTGTCTAATGGAACGACGCCAAAGATGGGGATGATCGATAACCAGCTCGAATTTCTATAGTATAGAGGCGCATCAGAAGTAGTCAATAGAGCATTGAAACCCAAGCCGCCAATACAGAAGCCTTAAAAAGCTCACATTCAAACCCTTGCGCCTGAACTCCCTGTTGAGCATGCTGGCCACCTCCACCTATGCATCTACCTCCATCTCCGCATCCCCATTCCCCACACCCGCCAAACACGCTTGTCGCGCAGCCTCAATGTCCTCCCGGGTCTCCTCCCACCACAACACTGGACCCAGACCCGAAAGAACCATAGAACCCTGCCACCGAAGACCATTAGCTCGCTAACCCAGTTCACTCTACAAAATACAGTGAGTAGAGCTTACTATGATCCGATACGGCGGCCTCTCCTCGTTCGTATCCCAGTGCTCGTTCTCGACGCGGAAGCGCACGACTTCATTCTTGTCGTAGAAGAGCTCGGAACCCTCGGTATGCCAGACCCAAACTTTCTCGGCGGCGTTACTTTTGGCACAGTTAGCGGTAGTGGTAGGAAGAGGGGTACGGATAAGGGAGGGAGCAAGGAAATGGGTAGCTTACTATCGGACGCCGTCGGGCATCAGCGCCTGTGGAATGTAGACGTCGTCGAAGAAGTCGAGGCTCACTGAGGGGGCCAGCAAGTTGGGTTAGCGACGGGATGGAGGAGGGAACTGGAGGGGGGTTACTTGCCATATATTCCGGTGGGATCGGAGATTTTGATGTGCCCGATGATGACTTCGCCTTGGAAGGGGCGGAAGACTAGGAGGCGGAATTCGACTACGGGGTTGGGTTAGTGGTGGGAAGATGGTTGGGTGGGATAGGGAGTTCTACCGTTCACATTGACGATGCCGGTGCCGTGGCCGATGTTGCCTTCAGAGGATTTGATGAGGTCGAAGAGGCAGATGCAGACGCCGACTTGTTGGATGACTTTGTTCGCATACTTGGTGTTGATGCTGTCTTTCAAGGCCTGGGCGCTGGTCTTTCCGAACTCTTCGGGTTGGATTTGTATCAAATCGGAAAGGGTAGTCTTGAAGAATTGTAAGAATATATTATGGAATTGAAATTTGACGATTCTGAGGATGAGAGAAAGGAACAGATGGCTTACGAGAATGAACATGATGGCGGTGTTGATTATGGAGTATTCATTCTTTGGGTGGTTGGTGGAAATATCCTCAAGTCATGGATGTGGGTGAAATTTTGATGCTGGCAAGGATGAGTCGTTGAGTGAAAACCCGTTCTCGAGGAAATATCTCAGGAAAGACGAGATAGACAGCTGCAACCAAGGTCAGTATCTGGACGTTCAATGAGTTCGTAGACGGCTATGGCAGCATCATCATTTTATTGAAGGTTTGGCGTTACGTCGGGTTTGGAGAGTGAAAGGCGGAAGGGTATAATGCATAACGTTAGCGCGGGATCCACACTGCATAAACTCGCTAAACATAAAGTCTTGGCACGAATCCAAAGCCTGTCTGCGAAAAAGTTGCAGCTCCTGCTCCACCAAACTCCCAAGCCACGATGGTTTTACAAAAGACACTCAACCGCTCACTCCGAGCTCAGGATGATGATTCAGATGATGAGCAGTACTTGGGTGCATCCGGAGGCTCTTCCCCTTCTGTCCTAGACACAGGCGACGGAGACGACATCAACATCGCAAGCTCTGAATCTGAGGATGAGGATCCCAAGGCGAAACTCAGTACGGTTCCTTTCGGAATTGTAGCTAAAGCACAAGATGAAATCTTGAAACAGGGGGGTGGAAGCCGGAAACGGAAGAGGGGCTCAGATGCGGAAGGGCAGAGCAGTCAATTACAGGCGTTACGAGAACGGCTACGCGAACTCAAGGCACAGAAAAGCAACTCCAAAGCACATCCCACTCAGCAAAGCAAATCTTCGCGAGAAAAGAAAGAGGATTCAGAGGATTCGGACAGTGATTCATCGTCTTCTGACCAACCGATCCACGCTCGTTCCAGCAAGCATGCCCCAGCAACTCAATCCAGCAAACGAACTGTGACCCGGAATCGCCAAGTTGTCGAAGTAAAGAAACCTGTTCCCCGCGATCCTCGGTTTGATCCCCTCACTGGTCCAAGCCCTGATGATTCCAAGTTCAAGAAGAGGTATGGCTTCTTGGACGAGTACAAGGCATCTGAGATGGCAGAGATGCGAGCTAAGATCAAGAAGACCAAGGATGCGGTGGAGAAGGAGCAACTGAAGCGGGATCTTTTAGCCATGGAGAACCAGCAAAAAGCCCAGGAGTCCAAAGAGCAACGGCAGAAGATCGTGAGTGAGCATAGGAAGAAGGAGAAGGAGCTTGTCAAGGATGGCAAGAAACCTTTCTTCCTGAAGAAATGTGAGTTCAGTTCATCGCTTGTCACTTTGAATGTATGACCGCCTGACATCCTTTACAGCGGAACAAAAGAAGCTTGCGTTGGTTGATCGCTTTGCGAAGATGAAGAGCAAGGACCGTGAGCATCTCATCGAGCGCCGTCGTAAGAAGGCATCGCAGAAAGAGCGCAAGAATATGCCCGTCAACCGAAGAGGGGTGTAGACCCGAATATCCTTCACCGGTATCACTTAGAGTTCTTGGGTTAGCGAACTACTTCATGTGATAGGTGTGAATACACCAACCACAGTGTTTTGGCGATATCTCAAGAGCCAGTCCGATTTTCTCGAAGTCCCATCACGGAGCAACTACAGAATGCAAGGCGTCGGCATAATCTCAATACCATTGCCACGCAATTGCAGTAGGTGCCCTGAATTCCCGAGTTTAGAAGTCAGTTGCAGGCTTCTCCCAATAGATGCTAGGCACGAGTTCGACGTACTCAGCGTCTCTTCTGCTTTCTAGTTTAATTAATGCAACCACCAACTCAGCCACCTATGACAGAGCGCAACATGCGCTTCCGTTCATAGAAGTAATGTGTATAACGGAGCAGTTCGGAGAACTTCACGAATTCCCTCATCTTGTATTTCGGCTGCAACGACCGATTCCTCATTTATAACATTCTTCAATTGACCGCTACTTATCTCAAATGATGCCCTTACAGTCGCATGGTACTATGGTTCAAGTGGCACGGCCACGGGCCAACGAATTAAACCGTGTGAGCTACACGATTGAAAGAAATAAGGGAACTGAACTATTCTCACAACTGATTATGTCGATCCATTCTACTCCCCATCTACCCTCGTACCACAAATGTCTCAGGAGGGCTAGGCGAAGTATTAACAACGGCATCAAAGAAATCCCGATACTCATCTTCTTCAGCCCAAAGCTCTGGATCCACATTATAGCTCTGCAACTCCGACTTGCGCATCACCTTGATCACGGTTTCCGAAGACACTCGCCTTCCGGTTTCTGGATCCACCTCCTCCATTGCCACCACGCTCCGGAACGGTTCGTCGTGTCGCACGCGGCTCCCTACTGCGTGGACGAAGCCGTGTCGCGCGATGGCGACGATCAAGGACATTTCGTACGCGGCGGCCGCGATGTTGGAGTCCAGGACGGAACTGTACTCTCGAGCGACTTGCTCGGTGTAGAGGCTGTCGATCAGGACGATATCGCGCGAGCTTCGCACTATTACAATCCATTTTTCGGCATTGAAAACAGGGGTTGCGGTGTTAGTCTCCATCGCAGATACGTGGTTTGCGGGGGCAGCAGTGATGAACACTGTCGTAAGCACGTTAATGGGGAAATTTTGCGGAACTTGAATTAGATAAGAACCCGGTTGGGGATGTTGTTTGCTTTTATATCTTTCATCCCCGTCATATGTAGATTTTCAAGACGGATGCGCTGGTATGCGCTGGCTCACAGCTCATTCCAGTATGAAACGGGGATATGTATTATGCCACCTTCATCTTCTCCATGATGTCACTAATTGCTGATGTGTTTACACGTAGGAATGAAGTGTGTCTGGCAATGTCCGCAAATCAGCATACAATATTCATCTATCAACGAGTATGATCGGATGTGCTCCCATAACTATATTTCCAATCTTCTTCAAAATCTTCCACAACCTTCCTACCAACTGTCAACCACCTGTTCTCAGTCGTTTGGTCTTTTGATTTGATGTGGCAACACAATTTCCCCAATAAGTAACCAACGAATTCGTTCTCGTAAACACGCATGTTACTTAAGCTATCCCTTTCGTCCCGCAACTGTTCCGGCAGCTCGACATGGCTACATGCCTCCCCCGTCCCTACTGAAGAATCTACTCCATCAACCAAAGTTACTCCGGTGCCCCCCACATCCCCTCCCCGGCACGTGAGCGACGCGGGAAGGAATGAGGATTGACTAGGGGGTGACGGGTGTACCAACCTCCTGGGTCTATATATGCAATCGTGGGTACCCTTGCACGCAACGTCTGTATGCGAAACATCGTTAAGCTAGTTCAAAACAGGCCATGTGTAGGTTAATCGGACCGCAGATGGTCGGCTGCTGGAAAGCGGAGGAGTTTTTAGGATGTTTAGTAAGATGGAACGCAGCTAGTGTAACGCAGTTGAGAGATAGAGCAGGAGGGCGGGGAGTTTTCCTATTTTTTTTTCTAGGGGTTACGTCTTCTGGAGATGGCATGGAGGAATCAAACAGAGGAAGTCATTGGAGAGCGGTCTGTACAAATTGGCGAGAGGGACAATATTAGAGTTAGTTTAAGAATTTGTGGTAGTATCAAGTTATGTAGTATTACTACGATCCTCGATGTTTGGTGAAACCCCTCGAACTCTCGCCTATTCTTCTCTTGAGGAACTCCGTCGTCGGGCGCTTTGGTGGCATTGCGCAGGCAATGGTCTTTGCGGAGAATGAGGTAGATCTTAACGCCAGTGGGTGGGAGAGATGGGGCTATTCTCGACAGTTGTGCGCGTTCGCGGACAATCTCTTGGTGCGGGTCTGTGGTAGAAGTTAGCCCAAGAAGTGACAACGAGGGGAGATGTTTAATACCATGTCTCAAAAAGTTATACTTTGAGATAAGACGGTACATGAGTGTGAAGTCCAGGACTAGTGACAGTATGATGACCATTGCGAGAACGACCTCGGCCTTGAATTTTGGCTTCTTCACTGTTCTGTAGACAGCCATGAAGAAGATGCTGTTGGCGATCAAGCCTTCCACGCAGAGGACCATGCCGACGACGGCCCATGTGATGGGGCGGATCCAAGGGCTACCGCGTCGATTTACCTCGACTATGTCCTCTTCGTCACAGTCAACCTCTATCTTTACGACGTTTCCGCGAGAAGTGTTGGTTGATGTAGACGTGGTGTCTGTTGATGGAGGCGGGGTGTCAGTTGATGGACGAGGGGTGTCGTTTGATGGACGAAGAGCCTGTTCACTCTCGGTGTAGGTTAATGAACGAGGACAGGCCGAAAGGCCTGGTCTCTTACGGATTGGTCGTATAGTAGTGGGAAGTCTTCCTCTTGAAGCCTCAGAGGTTGTGCCCGACAATTTTGAGTTGGCTTGGGTAACTATTGCGAATTGAGAACTCTGTTTCTCAACCGTCCATTTTCCGTCCAATGTATCTTTCCATCGGAGAGTCGACCAATGCAGCGACCTTTTCGTTAGTCGCCCACACCGACTAGTGCTTTCAGGACTTCTGATGATAGGAGCTGCTTCGACAGAGTCGCCTCATTCCTAGATTCAGAGTGCAGAACTGACCTTGAATGGTGACGTGGATGTGAGCCTCCAGTGACTGGTGCTGGTGCTTTACCAGGGCAAGCCGGCAGAAGGGTGGATTCGAGGGCTTGTCGCTTGGTTCCGCTGATAGCAGTCTTCAGCCTTCTTAGATGCTTGAATCGGAGCTCTAATGCTCGTCGATGAGGTCTTCGGAGAAGATTCCTGGGGGAAATACACCCAACAACCGTCCTCCGATTGTCCGGGCAAATAAATCCCTTACTCTCCCACGATATCTCCCGTAAAGGAACCTGTCGGGCTAAGTTCTACCACCATCGCCCCGGGAATGGAGCCCTCGCGATTCAGTTCTTCGTAGACAAAGGGACCATCGGGTTGGTGAGAAGCGTACTGGCTGTTCCAACCTTAATCGGAGAGGCGTTCAGAGCCTGCCGCTGATTCCTCTACCGTGCCCTCTCAATTCAATTCAACTCAATTCACTCATTCCGCCAGCACCGCGTAACATTCATCCGAGCCGCAATATCTCTCAAATTCCCATCCCTCAGCTCCTCCACCTTCCTCTTCAGCTCCCCTTCGGCCAACACTTTTATCACCTTGATCGAAAGGTCTGGGTAATCTTGTCAAACTCTGGCGTGCTTGGGACAGAGTATTGAGGTCTGATAGGCCGATCGCGGCGACGGCGATTCCAGCTCCTGGGGGATGCATCGTATATTGCTAGCTTGTCAAGGCGGGAGGAAGCTTGGAGGTGCCAAAACGGTGGGAGAAGAGGACAGTCAGAAAGGGCGTGACTGATAGCGGGCTTGTGAAGATGGTCGAAGGAGAGGAGGATTCGAGATGTCGAGAGGCTTTGGTGGGTTCAGGGATAGAGGAGGTGAGCTGCTGGGTGAGCTGGCAGATTTGGTGCCAGGTTTGCAGGATAAGAAGGCTATGACGCTGCGCACGGCGGATTCGAGGGCTGCAACGGCGGGGGGGCAGGAGAGGCAAATTATCCACTTGAAGCTAGCAACAGTTCGGAAGGTGTCTGCGTAGATTTGAGTGTGAACTTCGTAGTTGACGGGGAAGTGAGTGAGGCGGGCTTTCATGCTGCTACGGAGGAAAGAGAGCGCGAAAAGAACAGTCTGGCTGCAACTCCACTCGACGTCCTGCCTCATAATGAAAATCCTGGATCTGAGACATATGAGAGTAATTCCAATTCTTTGAGGCCTGTCATGTCCGCAAAGTGAGATGATGTTGAGCTTTTGGGGTTGGATTGTTTTGAAAATATCACAAAGCGACTGTAGTGGCCAGCACCACCACGAATCGAACTGGGTCCTTTGCGAAGCCTTTACCTGGCCTTTGCGTAGCCCTCTCTCAACACCTAAACACCGACAGCGAGGCCTCCATGCGTCCTATACACACGCAACCAAATAGAAACAAAAAGCAAAAAGGTTACCTCACCGAAGTGAGGCAGAGCCTTTCCCAGTTCCGTATGCAGCTTCGTTCAACCCGGAGGATCCACGCCGTACTCTGAGTGACAGTGATTTTAGTGCAGCAATGGCGAACCACTACGCAACCACCCCGCCTCCCGCAGGACGGGGTGGGCTGTCAATTGGATACCGACCAAAATATTTCGAAATATAACCATTGACTGAGGTCTCACCTATGATATTTCACACGTTCCAGGTCACTGCTAAGGTGCTTCTCCCCAGCTCCCAATGATGTTGTCGCCGTCCGCGATGGTGTTCCTGATGGTGTCCGAGTCCAAAGAGATGATGGGGTCGGCCACGCCGCGTTTCTTGCGATGGCCGAGGCCTGGGTCCCTCAATGCTTTCCCTCGCACTTGGTTGGTGTTCCACGGGCTCGGTTTGATGTTCCGGTCCTCAATCACGTCTTGTGCCTGCCTCTCGCAATGATTTCCTTGGTGTTTTCGCATCTCACCTCCCCGACATGGTGTCGCAATCTTCCACAACGTTTCTCCACCACAACATCCCGTGTCGCAAAGACTTCCGTCACGTCACATCCACGTGAGATGTACGAGAGGATAAAGGGGGTGAAAGATTGGCACCAATTCCTACGCAGGCAGCGCCTTGCCGCGGTGCGTCATCATCCTCCACCTGCAGTAACAGCAGCCGTCCCTGTTGTTGACCACAATAGCTGACCATTCTTTTATTCCCACATACAGCTCATTCGGCCCCATCCACCTGCCTAGCGATCTCATCCTCTCTTCTTGAAGATTGTCCGGGCGTGGTAAAGGCGCGACGAAAGCCTTCGGCGGGCAGCGACATTGCGACAGATCCATCGAGACCTCAACACCGGCGTGTCGCATCCGTAGGAGATTATACCGCGTCTAGGGGAGGTACCAGGTGATCGCAACGGCCTAGGATTGAAAAGCATCGAAAAAGAGATCCCCAGGAGGTCAAAAACCTAATGCGCAACTCGCCGGTACCGAGATGGCGTTATAATCTTGTACGGCATCGCATCAGCCAGGCCAACCTTCATTCAGACCATACAGTCGTTGGAGCTCTATATGACATTGATAGTAGCAAGGTGGTGGTGCGATGTCACCGCAGAACAAGACATGGCGTCAAGTTGGCAACGAAAGGCAAAGGGGCATGGGATCGGGCTAAGAAATACGAGAGAAGTGAATGAACAAAGACCCCACAAGACCGGGGCTTCATCTCAACGAAGGTGTTCGAGCAAAAGGCCCAGTGATTCAAAGATTCAATTTTCACACTTGCCAGCACCGACACGGCGTCATAGTCCTTTGAAACATCCCAACACTCGCTCACAAGGTCTGCATGCCGAGTACATCTGTAAGATGTGTATTGCAAGACGAGACTACTAAATGGGCAGTGTGAAGGGAAGTCAATGGAGGCCATGACATGGCAGCACATTGGCATCAAGGACTCAAAGCCGTGCCCTTGAGTTTCAAGATACGAGCAATGTGAATCAGAGAAAGGTCCAAGGGGCCGAAGTTCCAGAGGAAGTCATCTTTCCAAGGGGTTCGAAAATCCAAAAGGTCGGGTAAAAAGAGGATGCATGAGCTTTTTCTCGAACAAGTGGAACCACAGGCACAGTCAAAGAGAAAAAATCAAGTATAGTAGAAAATCCAAGGGGCCAAACCCTTTAGTACCGCATGACCTACTCACACAGGCCACTTAAAGGCCGATTCAGAGCGCTGATGATTATTCACCCATAGCGCCAGCAATGCAAATCCCCCGTCTCACAGCCCCCACTGGCCACGTATTCATACACCCACCTCTACTCTTTCACAAGGAACTCCTCAATCTCAGCATCGCTCCCCTCAGCCTCATCTCTCAACCGCTGCTCCTCCCTCTCCAATGCCTCCCTGATAAACTTCCTCTGCCTTAACCTCGCCTTCCGCCCAAAATCCATGTCTGCGCCCGTGTGTACCTCGTCCCCGCTATCATCCTCGTCGCTCTCAACGCCCGGAATCTCGATCTTCGCGCCGCGCAGCTCGTTCGGGTCCATGAAGCCTCTATCCGCGCTCTCCTTCTCGTGTATCTGCATCTGTAACTTCGCGCCGAGTTTCATGATGTAGGGCCGAAGCAGGCAGTAGCCGCCGATGATGATGACGAGGCGGATGTAGTCTTTCAGGCGCAGGCTGGCAAAGGCGGACGACGTGTTGCGGGTTAAATTTCCGGACCAGGTGCGCAGGAGCGTGGGAATATCGGGAGCCGCAGTTGCAGAGGGAAATGGCGAGTCCATTCTGGAAGTCTACGTCGATATTCGAAGTTGGGGCGGGTGGAGTTGGGGCCTCGTGTCCTCAAAGCCGTCGGTTGTCGTGACGGGGGTAGCTGTATTGAAGGGTATGGCTTTTATGGAGATTTCTGGTCTTGGTATTGGTCTTTGTCGCATTCCAGTGTGTGTAGATGAAGCGAGTGGCTTGTATTGGGGGAAAAGTGTGAGAATTTGATGGGAACTCGTTTTTAGGGTGATCAATGAAGTGGAATGTCGCGCTGCTAGGAGGTAGAGTTTGGTAGCGAGAAATCGCGCTAAGAACACTTGCACGTGACACATGCATCGAGTCTTCACGTTTTTCAACTGCTCCTTGAAGATTGATTATGTTTTCAAGGCTTTGTACGTAGTCTAGCTAGTCTGAATAGTAAAAGAAGGGGGCAGGTAAACGCACACCCCCTTTCGAGTAACCACACACCCACCCCCCTTTCATCTGATCTTCTGATTGGCTCGGAGGGCTGCTCCGTAGCCTCCGATTCGCTTGCTTAACTTGCTCACTAATTCCGAATGCTTTCTCTAAATGCGGCCTTGATCACAATCAATTGCATCCTCCTCCTCTCCCTCTATAATATAGCAGCGCATATAGCAGCGCCTACGGCTACACCTGCAGCTAAGAAGCGCGGCCGGCCGCCTGGTGCAAAGGATAAGGTACCACGGAAAAAGGCACTTCAGAAGAAAGATAGTGCTCAGCCTACGCCTCAGCCTCAGCCTATGCCTCAGCCTCAGCCTCAGCCTCATCCTCAAGCACAGAGGCTTAGCCGAGAGGAGCTTCTACGTCAGCTTGCAGCGTATGATGAGGAAATCGAGGGGTATATTGATCAGGGTGAAGAGTAGGTGGAGGCGGCGATGCTAGGGGGCCAGGCTTCTCGAAAGGGGGTGTGTGTTTACCCGTCCCCTAAAAGAAATTCCTGTCTGATTAAGTCAAGATTTAATTTGCTTCAGTCCAATTTGTGGCCGTGTATTGGACTCTTGATCATGAAAATAATGTTTCAACACTTAGTTCTCCTCAGGTCTGCTCACACTTGCTCACCCTTGCTCACCCTTCCCCACTGGCTGCGGCACAGTCTCAGATGTACCTGAAGTAGGGTGCAGCTCAAGCCACTGCGGGGAAAGTTTGTCATTGACTCGGTCCTCGATCACAGGTGACAGGCGTACCCCGCATTTCGCTGACGTGTTCGTATATTTGCCTTGAGGCACCCCGTTTGTGAGAGGGAAAGTATTTGTTAAGTCTTTTCGTGGTTCACGATTTAAAGTTTCCAACTGACGGACACAAAACCAAGAATGAAGCAATGTACGCGGTTTCGACAAACAAACACGTGCAATGGTTTCACTATCATCGTTGATGCCGGTCCTTCTCGAGTATCTGACGATCGAAGAGGAGGCGCAAATTTATCAGCAGTTTGAAGGAATATGCCAACCCAACAGCCAAGTCCTGTGGAGCGGCGTGCCGCACAAAGTGGCTCAAAATTGGGCAGATGAACATGATATGCAGACACTTACTACCGCAATGGGTCCTCTCATGGATAAAGCGGATTCATTATGTTTAAGAAAGAGCAAGTCAGGTCTGCAATGGAGCAAATACATCAAGGGAGCCTCTGCAGTATTTTCGTGGTATATTTCAAGCGGTGAAAAGGTTACAATGTTGTCGCCACCGCCTCCAGAAAGATTCCATCCATCTGGACTGACCAACTACCAAGCAATCGAAGAGCCAATTTTAAAATGGGCAATAGCGGACCATACTATACTACGGATCGAAATGGTGCATCCAACCGTGAAAGGAGCAGAGAACTTCAGCTACCAGATGTGGCCCATTGATGAAACAGATAACTGGATTGCAACCTTTGGGACTGTAGCCATCAAGAAGCGCCCTTGGAGAGTAATGGGGAATGCCTTGCATCAAATGGCAATAAGGAAGGGCATAACGACCAACGAGAAATTTGGTGTTGGACATGGCACCAGTCACTTCAGTCAGGAGAGCGAATCTGGTGTGCATATGCCAATTGCGAGAGAGCAGAAAAAAGTAAGCTAGGTTAATATTAGGAGATTTTCAGAGACGGTTATAGTATTATGATATAAAGCTAACGATAAAAGAAACAGGAGTCCAAGGAAGCGACCAAGGCAATCCAACCCTCCAAGACCACAAAAGTAAAGAAAGAAGTAGTCCAAGAGAAAGTATCCACAGAGACCAAAAAAGCATCAAAGGCAATGAAAGCGTTAAAGGCAAAGAAAGTCTCAAAGGTAAGAAAGCATCAACAGCCAAGAAAGGGCCGAATAGCTAATTACCAATACAAGAGAACTCGAGACAACAGTCAAAAGAAGGAGGCCGCTTTGGTCCAGGAAACTACGGCACCGTACTATTTACGAATGTTGTCGTACAGGATCTACGTAGCAGGACTTATTTTGCTGGTTTTGCTGGTCGCTCTCATCCAATGCGCGTTCTGCACCTACGAAGAGCCCGCTGTTGAGGAGCCTGAAAGCCTAATGGGCGCTAGTGCTCCCATGATGTCTAGAGAATTACCTTTTCCTTCACCTCCTCCGCCACCCGAGGTCCCAGAATCAGTAGAAGAGGTCTCCGAGACTCCAGGGCCCCCCGCCATTGAAAAGCCTGCCGCCGTCGAATGGCCTGCCTTCAAAGAGCCTCCCGCAATCAAAGAGCCGGTCGCCGCCATAGATCAACACACTGAGAAACCCCATACGAAAGACTCCGAAACGTCTCCCCACCCGGATTGGTGGAATCTTGTAACTGAAGCAATGGAATCTACTCTGGTTAAAGAAAAAAAGAAGGACAAGAAGGGCAAGAAAAGCAAGAAGGGCAAGAAAAGCAAGAAGGGCAAGAAAAGCAAGAAGGGCAAGCAGGGTAAAAAGACTTTGACACCGTCTTCACCGACGCCTCTACCGCCGCTTAAGCTACCAACTGAATGTGAAGCTATTTCCCTGCCATCTTCACCTCCAAAGAAACCGAAAGAAAAGAAGGGTAAGAAGGGTAAAGATACTTCACCGCCGTCTCAACTG